GCCGTGATTGAATCTTGCTCATTCTCTTGAATCCTAATGAGACTTTGTTGTTGTACCTTTGAGCGACTATGGCACTGTTTTAACACTAGAACAAAACTAAGCCCGCCTACTTCTCATCTTATACAATTTTGCACTACATTACCTTGAATTCTCTAAAATAAAAGGTAGTGGAATAACCTGTAGCATTTAAGAGGACCTAGAATAGAAGTAAGCGAAGACCAAGTGTTAAAGATCTTAGGGCTACCACGCATTACTTGCATGGTCGCTCATTCGATCTTGACAGAATCAGCCGTGCTTTCCATTACAGCTGTGTCTGAAACCATTAGTAGAATTGTCAGAGGAAAGTTTCCTCCCATCCACAAAAGCTAAGGCAACGACAGCTTCCAGTAAAGACCACAGAATTTTCTAGTAGAACAATCTCTAGATTTCAACAAAAACGGACTTGAACATCACTCAACAAAATCCATGAAGACAAAGTCCTCAGATGACATCTGAACCCACACACAAAGGTGACCACCTTCATGGATGACGGAGGTCAGACAACAAACCAAAGAAAAATAAGTACTAGGACTCAGACATTATTCTTAACAAGTTTAAGACGATGCACAAAGTCCTTAGAAAGACGTCCTTCATGCGACCATAGTATCCAACCAAGATAACCAGGCATGAATTTTAAATCCAACCGCCAACGGTTTGTGAATTAATAACCACATTATCTTATGTAATCGAAGAACCCCTTTCAATAGGTCACCAGAAAGAAGACGAGTCTTTCATGCAATTCTCACAATATAACTGGAATTTGTTCATTAAATTGCTTGAAACATTCTCTACGAATCACCGTGAAAAGACAGTGGTAGAGAGGATTATAGCTGGCTCTTCAAATATACCACGAACGAACGGAACTTATGGTAAAAATCTTTAATCTTCATCCCAACACCACAAAAAAAGCAAAACATAATAGATAAGAAATTGATTACGAATCTAACAGAAGTGCTATAAAAAATCAACATTGTATTTATAACCGGGGCGACATTACCTGTGTACGGAAAAGAACCTAGTATAACATATCACACACTCACGCATACACATACCATAACACAACTTACAGTAACAACAATACCATTTCTTCTGTTTTATGGATAGACCATACAACAAAAAACCAGGTCCTATGAAAACCTAACAAGTAACATTCATTCAGATCCATCAACCAAGTATTAAAGAGCATAAAGAACATATTAAAGAACAGCTAAAAATAAAGAGAAAGAAATCAACTAAAGTCCAGAATGGTGACCACATACTCGCTAACATTGATAACAACACTCAACGTGGTGAATACAAAGTGGATCACATTCTGGCGATTAAACGAACGCTGGCATGTAAAGTAAACAATGAATTCAACAACATCACGAAGCGCGACGGTAGTTCACTGGAATCACCAATGTTGAATCTTTGATAGTGGTCGAAAAGCTTTCAAAAATAGTACAAGTATTTTACCACATTTGCAACTAGGCCTAATTCTGAGTGAAGGATACATTGAACTAAGCTATGAATCACATGTGATTCAGGCGGTCCGTGCCCCCAACAAATGACCAGAAAACCATTTCCTTTTTCTCTACAGTTCGGTTTTCTGCGCACTTAACCAACGACTTCTCAATTTTTTACAGCACCAATGTTCTTCTGTACAGCTTTCCATGCTTTCCAACATTTCCAGCGTTTGTTGCTCTCAACCTTAGGTGGTCCATTTCACAACAAATGTGGAGTACGACATCGTATTCTCGCATCCGTCGATCCCATACAATGACTTTAAAGTACCATAGCGACAGGAAATTACCCTGGTCAAAAACTGAATTTTATAGGCTTGAACCATATCGGCTACAGATCAGTTGTTCATTTGCAGTGGATTTCTCATCGATGGTGAAGAAGACCAGTAACTGAAGATGCTATGATTATGTTAGGTGATTGTTACCTGACTGTAATGGGGAACAATGCATTAAGTCAATAGAGGAAACAGTAATGGGAACTGACAAATGTAGAAAAAAACGAAAAGATTCATCGGTTCCTGCCTTCAAATGGAAACTCAGATGTTCAGGATTGAGGGATTATTGGAGTAGAAATCGGTCCATAAAAATAGTCCTACTGGAGCCGATGTAATGTAGATTTACGGATTTCAAAAGCTATCCGCTCTTTTTCATTTGACCGAGAACCTGCTATGCAAAAGAGTTTCGATGAAATCTTACCGATTGTCGAAGTGGTTAAAAAAAAGTTTCGACTATTTATACATGGCAGAAAAGTCTGCATCCATTAGTCCCTCGCGAGTTCAGAAAATATATCGCCTTCTCCTGTATACACCATATAACAAGTACATACACGGTATCGCGCTATTCAATTTGTGTAAGGTCGGTACACAAATAGATTTATGGTACATGCCGACCAAGAAACTCCGTAAATGCTAGTGAAGTTAAATGGCACCCATATGCAGATAGCTAGTATAGAGGTACCTCGCTGGCTAGAAAACTTCTCCCGAGAAATACACATTTAGTCGACACGTTCACAAGAGTAATATAAGATTTCCAGAGAAGTTTATCACCCAGAAGTCAGGAACAAGAGAAATCACGTGACAACGAAGTAGAAGCGGTACAACGACCTTAAACTGAAAAACCAATCGGGACATTGTTAACTTTTTGTTTACTGCCTACGACAATGTTTCAATTGTTGATGGCACAGGTAGATAGTAAACTAGCTGAAGGAAAGGTAAAACGAAGGACCCGTATGGTATGGTGGTGAACGCGTTAGCTCTCGGAAAAGGTAATAGCGTGTTCGATGACCACCGCAGACACCTGCGGTCCGGAATTCTGCAAATGTCTCAGGATCAGTAGATTACTATGCTACGCATGTCGACCCCTTCCACAGAAAACAGCTTCGGTGATGGCAAAAATTCTCTCGCCATGAAACAATCTCGTCCAGAAAAGTTCTTGTAATTTATTATATGTAGACTACAGAATTCCTTGAAATAATCGTAGTGCCAACATATGTTGAATAAGCTATCGATTAGATATAAAAACGATGGGAAAACAATTCCGTTGAACAAAGTAAACAACCAGAAATAAAACGATTCACATATAATACATAACGCCCGCTGTGACCCGCCACATCAACACGTTTTCCTGTAAAGTTCAAAAGGTCACGATGAGTACGTTAAATAAATTGATAACTAGCCCACAATACACTGTGTTATAAACTAATAAACAAGAAAACCGCGGAGATTGCTCAATTGATGCATTCTGAGTAATTGAATCTGTTCTCGATACAAGTTACATGTATTCGGATGACGGGGTTAAAGTAGCCCACGGCTGATTTAGTCCATACGCTAAGGGGCAGAATCAGTGAATGAGTTGCACTTCTTAGATTCATAGGGTATTTTGAACTGATTCCGTTAATGCGAATTACACCTCAAAAATCAGTTCAGCCAAATGGTTGACATAAATAAATGACCAGTAAACTAAGTTTTCGGTAGCAATTCGGAAGTAGTTTAAAGTTGCCTACACCAAATACTTAACAGTTCCACGAAGACCTGACAACTTAGCCAAGAATAGCCCCTACAACGGAGCTTAGTGAACCTGCCAATTCTAAGAACTTAAAAAAACGTGAAATTTAACTTTTACTTACTGTTTACATTTTTTCATGGCAATATAATATACTTTCTAAAATGCAAACACAACGATGCTGAGATATGAGCAAAAGTCAGAACTTCAGTTAGGCCACGAACCCTCGACTACCCCTTCCGGTTGTGCATGCATTATCCACCACACCCACAGCGAAAAGCCAAACATTTTGATTTCGACTACAGCGTCAGCTTAACCGTGTTCACTGCCGATTTGTGCATCCCAAACTATTCTCATTGCTGGGTGTTTGCTGACAGCACCGAAATAGTAAAAAAAAAAAAACTAACTGAGAACAAAGCAAGGCCCCTGTTGGTGGTGGGTAGCACGTGAACATCCTGAGGCCAATCGTTGGTCTAACTCATGTTCCGAAATTTGCTAATATCTCAAAATCTAAACATTTCTACCCATGCATTAAACAGTTTTGACAAAACTACATAGGGAAAAAACTAAAAAGCAAACGTGTGCGAATACGACTCAAAAAGAAACTTCAAAAAAAAGCGGGGAAGGTGGACAAACAGTGGTAACTGTTGCATAAAGATGCCAGCTAACATTGTTGATTTCATGCAAAGCGGTTGGTTAAAGGAACAAAACTTCTTAGCAACTTCTAACAAAATTTGAGAAAAAATGAATGTTGTCCAGTTTTTGAACTACAGGAACTACTATTTGAATAAAACACTGATCAAGCGAAGATGCTGTTACAAATTCACTTTTATCAAGTTTTCTGTCCACTAAAAGCTGTACACATGAAGTTTTGTTTCTATTATAATACCTTTGCCTCAGTAATAATCAGTACATTTGTACTCAAAGCAGGTTTAAAGTACCCATAATTGTTGGTAAGTTACATATCTTTCTATCAAAATTGATGTGATTTCCTTGAAGAACAGGGTTCTTAAAAGGCATGGTGTGGAGCATCAACACCGATTTCTCCTGTTACCACAAAATGGCGGGTGTAGCGTAGTGGTTGGAGGCGCCTTACAATACATAAGGGTCGATCTTTGCGCCACAACCTCACCAAGCCTTCCATCCATCCAAGGGCAGAAACTAGTACCAGACCAATCTGGGAGGATATCCGCACTGGCTCGATACATCGGCAGGCCACCGGGAATTGTAAAGGTCAGATATGCATTCAGTCACCTCCAGCGGTGCTCAATAAAGTCGAATTCATAGCGCATTCCTCAGGGATGGATCAACGCCGACAACTTTATCCTTTTTTACCACCCGGCGTCCGAAATTTATAGCCATTTATGTGAAATGGACATAGAAATTATTATGGAAATGGATAGATGACCGGCCAAGGGAAAGCAATAGCGTGAGCTGTGAACACAAACTCACCCATTTTTAACGACTGACAATTTCCAAATCTGAATCATCACTCCTCGCGATACAGTTTCTCATGAAAGTTTTTCCTTTTTCCTCATGATTTTGACCAAGGTACGCTCGTAAGATTTGGATCTGCTAAAACGACGACAAACACATGTACAAAACAGTGCGGTTGAAAATAAGAAATGGTAACATGGTTATCGCGAATTGTCACCGTCAAACACACAGGACACGTACATAAAAAGCATTTCAAAGAAACAACACAGCGGGAAAAAACATGATGAAAATGAAACACAAAACCTATGAAAAGACGAGACAAGTGGCCATATAAGCAACACCACATCAGGTAGATTCACGTAATGTTAACAAACCTTCTTAAGAAACTCGCATTCCTTGAGTTCTTTCCTGAGGCGGTTAGCAGAAGCTATGACACCGTTCTAAACACCGTGTTACGTGCAATACATGCGCAAATAAGCGGTCAGAGCTAAAGACTCAAGCAAGGGAAAAGTGAGAGAAAACATGCAACCATTAAAACTAGAAGAAAGACGGTGAAGAAACGAAAGAATCGATTAGTAGACTAGGCAAGAAAAGATTTCCAATACGCAAAGTTCTCAAAGTGACGACTATGCGGTTCACGGGCACCATCCTTCTCTTTTAAGCAACAATACACAAGTAGTCGTGGTCATAATTTCAAATAATCTCCTAGTTGTATCAAGCCTGACATAATGAAAGTTCTCAACATCTAAGGTAATTCCGAATTTTAAAATTTATTCCTTCAAAATCAATAGTATCGCGCATACTGAACATGTACAAAGTGTTTTGTTAACCAACAAACGAATCTATACCGAATTATTGCAAAAATATTAAAAAACCGGCTCTAGTCTGGAAAGGAAAGAAAATAAAGCCACAAGGAAAGTGAACCGTATCGTTTTTAATAAATCAACATCTTACGGCTTTATTGAGTTCACTCTGCAGTTCAGCAACTCTATCCTTATAGAAAGATTCTTGCTCCTGAACTCCCAACTCAATTTGTGTTAGTAGAGCTGACTGTAAATGCAAACATTACGAAAAAAAACTAGAATGTTAATAGTATTGGAGAAAAGATGACTCGAGAACTTACCAATGTGTTGAAAGCACCTTTATACCTTTCGATTTCGGCTTGTAATTTAGCCAGCGTTGTCTACAAAAATGAACGAAACATATGTGTAGGGAAAACAATTTATTGTTCAAAAATTTCTATTTTCCTAATCTTCAGATGCAGAAAACAATCATAAAAAACATGACTAATACAAGTCGTGCAGAAAAAAGTAGAAGAAATATATGTCAAAGACTAGCGAAAACCATGTCTCTCTGTCGCGTGTAAGAGCAGCAAGAGGGTTTTACTCGCTTTAGAGGCTTATTGAGCAAACAATTTTTTTCTCGGATTTTCGTGAAGAACTCCGACAGTTGGGTCAATGGCTTTACTGCAATGCGTTTGACATCCCGGGGGATCCAATCGCTAACGGGTCATGTCCATCGGTTGTTCTTAATAAGCATAACGGCTTCTCTGATCATTGTCGTAGAACGGAGCTTCATATCCTTCTTATTTGCGTGCTGTAGAATGCTCTTAGAATCACCCTTTTGACTACGCGTTCCATAATGCTGAATGAGGGAGTGAGGGACAAGTTCGCTACGTAAACAGGATTTTCACCCTGCGCACGTAGCGACCTGGTTCTTGACTCATGCGTTAATGCAAAAAGAATCGTGTTGTCAAAAAGGTGTGCGCGGAGACAGGTGTTCGGCGTTCTCTTCACTACGTCTTCCATGCTCTTGAAAGCTCCCCAAGCCACTCTCCTGCTCGGCTCTGGAGCTAAGTCGTTCACCATATTGATTTCCCGCACACCTTTACCACCACACATTCTTGACAAGTGTAACACATGTAAGAACAAAGTGAGAACCTTATCTTTGTCGTTATCGTACTTTCTGGAACAACGGAGGGCTGCCTTCAATGAATTTGCAAGGTCGTTGATGTAATCATTGTAGTTCTAAACAAACAGCTAACAGTTACATATAAGAAAAAGTGACATGGGAAGGAGCTCAAGACATATTAGCTCTCCTATAATGACCACTATTAAGTGTTACATACTAACGACGTAAGTTTCTTCCACAGTGACCCAAACACTTGTTTCCACGTAACAAAAATCCAAAGCACGTACTAGATAATCTGCACGGAATAAAACTACGCTTTTAATCAAAGGCCACTATTAAAAACAATGTAATCGGGTAAATTAGAGCAGCATTCATTCAATTTACTTATAAACAAATTTAAAAGGTCCATCACTGCAAACTACTAACCGAATTTCCCATTGGTGCATCGACAATACTACCAATAGTAGACGCAACAAGTTTTCTCTCATCAAGCAGTTGGGCCTCAATGGAGTTACATTTCGCCTGAAACAAGTTTTCCCTTCCAAACAGAAAAATGAACGATGAAAAATATGGTATGTTCAACACAGAAAAAGCCTTTCAATGTAGCAACTAATATCAGAAATCGGTGAAATAATCTTATGTTTATACCTCAAATTGATTCATACCAATAAATAGAAGATAGACCTCATTAAGCATCGACGGAAGTGACTGAATGCATATCTGGTCTTTACAATGACTTTCAGCAGCCTACCGATGTATCGAGCCAGTGATGCTCTCCTCCCAGACAAGTGTAGTACCAATCTGCCGACTCCGGAGGGATAGAAGGCTTGGTAAACCTGGAGATCGATTCCATGTGTATTTCAGGGCATCTCCGACCACTGCGCTACACGATGTCGTGTTAGACATTTATTTATACTATACTTATGGCCCAATCAAAGTCCGAACCAGATAATATTGCAATGGTACACCGTGTACAAAACACATTTTCATATCCAGCAAATACTTTCTGTGGTAAGGGAATGAAAAAAAATGGATCAGATCGTTCCAAAAAATGCTTTAGCTATGATTTCTAAATACCACTACTAGATTAAAAAGTACGCGATAAAAAGAAGACAATTATACCTCTCTTGATTTCGATCGAGGTAGTTCTGTTGACAACTTCTCAGCCAGTTGCTTCTCCAACCCAGCAACATGGTCAAGAATTTTGAAGTTCCGATGTCGAAGCTCCTAAATTTAGCCCATGCATTACTTGCCCAAAAACATTGAAAATCGAACATCTTGCAAAATCGAACAGTAAACAGAGCAACACAGAACTTCAAAAATAAGCTTAACATTGGCTAGTTAACATTTAAATAATAAAAAAATAAGTTAGACAATCTTGGAAATTATAGCATATAGACGATGTACCTCATTTTTTTGTTGTAACCTGGAGTTTTCCGCTCGAAGACTGGCGACATCATCTTCACTCTCCAGAGTGTTATTAGATTTGCACACATTCACATCCTGGATTCTCTACAAAACCACACACTAAACAACTATTACGACGTATTACCTCAATATGGAACTTCCGATTGATATAACATAAATTTTGAGTCAAAAGAAGAAAAAGTTAAAGTGGGGAAATTCCAGACACACCTCATGGCTTTCAGGACTCTTTTCACTTCCAGCATCAGTAGACCTTAAATTAAAACTGGTACTTGAAATAGAAGATGTTAAGGTACAAAGATCTTTTCCTTCTTAGAAGCAAAAACGTCTTGTAAACACCTTAGCCATGGATATGTCAGACTCACTTCAGCTTAAAAGAACTCTTCACCTCCGACAGCTTGTTTTCCAACTCTGATAATTTCTTTCGAAGTCCAATATTTTCTGTTTCTAACTCAGCACTGATAAACAACGAAATATTAGTACGACCAGCTTCAAACTGTTTAAGCAGGCGATGAAGGAATACCTCCTATCATTTCCTTTCACCACCAACACTTGCTTCTCCGTTTCAGCAGCAACCAAACGAGCACTTTTCTCTGCCAATTCTGCTTCTCTAGCATGCAGTTTCTGTTCTAGTTCGTCTTGTTCTTTCTTACTAGAAACAATTAGCCGTCAACAACTTAATAACATATAAAAAAACCGTACTAACAATGCCTTGGTTTACTGATATACTATAACGAAGATGTTACTTACTTGGATACTTGGATAGCCCGTCTTCACTAGTTTTGTGGGCCCCAGCACAACTTCCATTGCTTTGGAGTTTTTCTGGTTTAGCGATTGTGGTTCCCGGAGTCCCGAGATCAGCCTGGTCAAAGTCTGCCGCAGGTCGTCACCACTAAAGACAGTTACCGCCCTTGTGGATCAGAGAGATATTTGCCACCATACGACTAGTTTGATACCAGGACGGTGGTGGATCCTGGTATTCGTTTACTCTTGGCTGGGTTTCCTGATGTAAACGCCGGACTCCTTCTCAGCTTGGAAGGCCTTGCTGAGGGGATGAATCCCCTGCTGTACATCGCAGCCCGATACCTAGGAACACCTCCCAGCCACAATGATGTGGTAAACCATTGGGAGGACACCAAGGTTTCGATGTATTCGACTCCTTCAGTGTCGCGACGATAAGACACACATCCGAAGAAACAAATGCTGTGAACACTACTTGAACCGCTGCAGCTCTGAGAAATGCAACCGAGGCGAAACGCTAACAACTTTAAAGCTTCGTTACAACCTCGAATAAACCCATCAATAAACCAAGACATTGATTACATAAGCAAAAGTCAAATTGAAGTCAGCATTGATAACTAATAACAGCTAACAGCTAACAAAAGCTAACAACGAAGCGATAAAATTGTAGTGAAACAGACGACAGCTCACACTAGTACTTACAATTGCTCGAACTTCGCCACCTCCCTATTGAGTTCATCAACGAGATTTTTTAATGAGGTGTATTCGTTCATTAGCGCCGCTTCTTTCTGAATAGATAGAAATAAACGAAACAACAACAGGGCAACTCTTGAATAGGAAAAAGGAGTTATTTATAGATGCATACTGTAAAATTAATACGAAGGACTTCAAAACTAGAATTATCCGATCGGATATTGCTAACATGTGCAAAGAATAAAGGTGGTGACAATAGTCATATCTGCAAGTAGAATCAATAAAAAATTACATAACGCTATTTATACACATATATATGTATATAAAAATACACATGTATAAACACACATATAGAGGATAAATAAAGAATAAAGCTCTCGGCATTGTCTGGCCTTTACAATGACTCGTGGTGGTCTACCGATGTATCGAGTCAGTGCTGCTATCCTCCCAGATAAGTCTGACACGAATTTGCTGACACCAGAAGGATGGAAGGCCTGGTGAACCTGAGGCGCAGGGATCAATCCCATGTGTATTGCGGGGCGCATCCGACCACTGCGCTACCCGCGCCCTTTTATATACATGTATGTATATATATATATGTACATAAATGCATACATACGTATATATACATATAACTATATATCCACTTATATATAATGTATAGTGTGCATAGTGTATGTGTACATAAACACGTTTTTACGTACAATTAAACATACATATATTTGAACAAATCGGAAAGCGATTTAAACCTATCGGGACAGGAGAACATACGACGCAAGGAAAAGCTATATAAAGTTACGTAACAAATGCTTTGAATAAGTCTGAAAAAGAAACTTTAAAAAATCTCATGGTTATAAATGTCTCAATATCTCAAGCAGGAACTGAACACAGTGCTCGTGACGTTGTTCAAGTATTTCTACCATAGAAACGCGGCGTATCGGTTTCCCGTGTAGTTGAATGCACATCTTCTAGTAACGTAATGAAAAGTTAATTTTCTCCAAAAACCGGATAATGTGTAAAATGTGTAAAATTGATAAAAGAGGGCAACATAGAGGATTTGTGACTGGATGCGAAATCGAACATCATCAAAAGAAGACGTCAAGAGAGGCATGAAAAGTTGATGACCAACTCTCAGTTTCGTACCAACGTCGTGGGAAAAACAAACAAAATGATTAAAACCACGCTAAAAATTTAAAACAAAAAGTCCTCCTACCTTCTCCCATTCAATTCGTGCTTGAGCGAATTGGTGAGCGATTTCATCGCGCTCAGACTCAACTCTCTTCCATGAATCAGGGTCAGATTCAATTGTTGGTGCTTCTTCGACGGCACGCGTTTTCTCTTCCAATTCCGCCTTTAGCTTACGCGTCAGCGAGTCGAGTGTGGCGAATTCTAGCTTGAGGCTCTCAAGTGCAGCAGTTTGCTGAAGATACAAAAATCTAAGTGCTGGACATCTGTTTGTACTGCAGGAAGTACAATAATGGACGGCTGGAGTGAAAACGTACCACACCACAGAGAACCAACGCTAGCAAAACCAATAAAGCTTGGCAGTCTACACAAAATGAAATGAACACCAGACTGATGATAACGATAACCTACCACCAAACACCTTATTTCGGTTTGGCATAAAAGTGGATTTTAAATTTTATCACAATCATAGATTCTACTTACTTGGATACTTAGATGGATCGTCTTCACTCGTTGTGCGGGCTCCAGCACAATTTCCATTTCTCCGGAAACTTGCTGGTTTAGCCATTGTGGCTACCTGGAGTCCCGAGGACAGCCTGGTCAAAGTCTGCCCCAAATGGTCACCAACACAGGCAGTAGCCGCCCTTATGGATCAGAGGAATCATGGCTATTATACTACAAACCAAACCCATAAAAGTTTAATATTTCTCGATGCTGCCTTTGACATGAAAATTGAGACGTCACGATAATTCCCCATCTAGAGTTGCTCAAAACATCCGGTGTTCTCGATTCTTCGGATGTCGTACACTTCGTAACACCCTAGGAAAATGGGCGAGAAAAAGACAGCCTCCTTTCTCTTACTGAAGGTCCGCAGCACTTTCCAAATTCGAAATTGTACTGAGAGGTCGTGCTGGGCGTCTGCTGAGTTAATCCATTATATCTTCCTGAGTCTAGGTGAAACGATAACGACGAATAAACACTCTAGCAAATCGGAAAATGCATCAGATAATATGACCATTATGATTTGTACGGTTTAACAGAAAGTGGTGAATAATTCACGACAAAGCGTAGTTACCAGTTGCAAAACCAAAGCGAAAAAGAATGAACGAGTTGGGTTACGAACTAGGCCTCATGTACCACACTTGCCACATCTCTCGCCTATCTACTACTACTTCTTCAAACATGTGGACAACTTCCTATCCAGGAAAAGCTTCAGAAACCAAGCGGAGGCCCAAACTGCCTTCGAAAAGTACACCTCCCCAATAGTGCAGAACTTTAAGGAATTAGTGTAAATAAACTTGTTTCCCGTTGGCAAGAACGTGTAGATTTTAGTTATTTTCATTTCGAGTAACAAAGTCTATTCTGAGTTGACAGGTTTAAATTGGACATTGACTACAGAGGAGCTAATACAAAAACTGATCTGCAGTTGTTATTACCTTTGAGTATTCACTGATATCTCTCTTTAAGGCTGCATTTTGTTCCACACTCTCATTGAGAGACCGGGTTACCTTCGCAAGGCGACCAGACAACTCAGCATTACTCTAAAATATGTTATTCTGAATACAAAACATGTAAACAGTAAATTATTATCTCGCTCACAGCTTTTACAGCTTCGAAATTCGCTAACGCTTTAGCAGCAGCGGCAGCCTCTACCGTTGACTTAGAAAGAGCAGATTTTAACGAGTCATTCTCAATACGTATCTGAAATCTTTCTACAAATAAATAAATACGTCCAATAAAGAAACAGAAAGAGAAAACGGACCACTCACATTGTTCAAATGCACGATCTGTTGTTTTGAGGCTGCTTCTGCTACAGAGAGTGATTGAAGCTTCGACGTGAGCTCAGATATCACCCGGCTAGAATGTTCCCAAAAATGTTTGCATGATCAAGTAGAAAGGCACCACAAAGATAACACATAATTTCATCTTATACGATTCAAAACAATAGGAAAGACGTTCATAGGCGTCGGGCTGCGATGTGCAGCGGAAGGATTCTAGGTTTGGACAAAGCAGGGTCTCCCAAGCTGAGAAATAGTACGGAGCTTCCATCAGGAAATCCAGCTAAAAGTAAACCAATACCACCGCCGTAGTGGTATCAAATTAGTCCCATGGTGGCAAATCTCCCTCTGATCCACAACGGCAGCCACTATCTGCGGTAGTGAAGACTTGGGGCAGACTTTGTCTAGGCTGACCTCGGGACTCCAGCGAACCACATTAGCTAAACCAGAAAAACTCCGGAGAATAATGGAAATTATGCTGAGGACCGCACATCGAGTGCACCCGGGCCACCCAAGTATCCAAGTATGTACGTTTCAAAACCAAATGTTTACTTCGGTTATGATGTTGAAACCTACACATGATCTGCTATTTGCTTTTCCGCAATGGCACGAGATTGCTGATGTTGCTCGATTTTCTTCTTCAATTCATTCTCTTTCTTCTCAAAGCAACTCACTGTTTCCTCAAGGCGATGCACCTGTTAAATGATGAATGTGCACTAAAACCTAAGTCGAACTTGAAATCCTAAGATACAATAACATCTATCAAATTACTGCGCATAATATTTACATTGTAAAGCGTAGCAACAGTTTTGGTCGAAAATATAAAGAGGACTACAATTCCAAGAACAGACTATAAAGAAAGCTGAGCACACCTAAAGGATGTGAGCAACCTCAAAAAGGATCACCTAATCGAATGTACTATTGACAAAGCGACATTTTACGTGAACAGGAAGAAAATTAGTTAAACGATATTATGCAGAATGATCAAGTAGAAAGTGAAAAAAAGCCAACCAAACAGTAGTTAAATAAAGGGCAAAAAACTCACCTTGGCATTAGTATCATGAAAATATGTGGCAAGATAACTTATGTACTCGGGTTCTATTTCCTCTAATGAAGCTACACGAGTGAGCACTTTGTTTGAATCGAGGTCGTTGATGTTCACTACAGTGACTGTAAATTAGCTAGAACTTCATCAAGAATTAAATTTCCTTCGCAACAGACAAAAGATGTGTAATTGCCAACACCGACTTCCTATTAACCTCAATATTGATAAACATCTCGCTATCTTCTTGGTTAACACACACAACGCTGTTTACCACAAACTATTTATTAACAGCAACTAATGTTTCGGCGGATTTAGTTTTCTTCGGGACCTGGAAAAGCCAAGTCCATTGCTACCTACTCAATCAAAGAACTCCATAACCTCAGCAGAAAAAAAAACTGCTATGATGATGCTGAAATATTTGCAAAACTCCGGGCCGCGGGTGTCTCCGGTGGGAATCTAGCCCGGTATCACCCTTTCCGGGGTTAACCCGTTCACCACCACATCATGCAGATCCTTCACTTCGCTATTCTTTCGGCCGTGTTTTAACTTGTACTTGTTGTCAACAACCACCTTACGATCAGAAAAAATTACAATACCTAATCTTCAACCACACCGGAAATAAACCAACTCCTTCACACAGCCACCGTCTTGTGTGACTCATCCACGTGGAACTGCAGTTAACTTGACTTTTCCAGGCTCTAAGGCGGAATACGCTGAAACACTAGCAGCTGCTTTTGTCAATTTTGTCGTCCCAAGCAAGTCCAGTAGAAATTTGTCAACTCCTCAAGGTCGGAAGGCTTGGTTTGACTAGTGAGCGGGATCTAAACGACGACCTTCTGTCTATCGTAGGAAATCTCTAACCACTGTACCACACCAGCGCTAGCTGTTGTGATGAAATAGTATATAACAACAACCTCAAGTGTGCTCACCAAGAAAACAGTGAATTGAAAGATATGTTTATTAAGACTTGAAAAGCCTAAATGAATAAACATGAGTGATAAAAGCGAAACAAAGTCAGAAACCTTACTCTTTTTCTTCGGTTTTTTCTCCTTCTCCGATTTGTTGCTAGAAGCTGAAGATGATACAACCGCCGATTCTTTCTGAGTAATAGAAGACTGTTTTATGCAAATATTTAAAAAAAAGAATGAAAAACACCTCGGAAGGTAGTGTTTCACTTATTGCACCATCTTCTTCTTTCTTCCCTTTATTCCTTTTCTTCTTTTTGCCTAAAAATAAAGATAAGATGCCTGGGAAAGGTTTCATGTAGCCCAAAAAGTCTAATAGAGAAAAAATCCGTGCAGTAAAGAAGAAAAACGTCCTTGCAGAAAACACATTCAGACCAGTTCACACGACCTAACCTACCCTATCTCTTACGCATGCATAGAAGTCAATGCACTCAGCTACGAATGTCTTAAGGATCAGTGAGATATACATATAATTTGAGAGCATAGAGTCGAAGAAAAGATTTTCGGCAAATCAACAATGTAAATCAATTTTACGAAAAAGAAATAATGATTACTCAGTAAGTGTGAAAAAATGTGAAAAAAGCCTTTATTTCTAACGTTAAAGAAGTGACCCTGCAAAAATCAGTGTGAAATAGAAGTTGTGTAACATATTCAAAATCCCTTCAAATTCCACCGTTGTCAAGGATTATAGGATTAAGAACGAACACAATGAATGAGTTCCAGCTTTTTCAATGGGAATCGTAAAGGAGGAATACGTAATGATTGTGGTAGAACTAGCTCGACACGTGAACATGGAAGGCATAGCTAGTTCTAAGTTTAGTTTCTCATAGGGCTACGAAGAAAATAATTAAGTTAAATAAAGAACCTCTTTGACGGGTGATCCCGGGCTGATAGTGCCTATAAAACACGGCCGAGAGAAAGACGAAACGAAGCACCTGCATGGTTCGGCGGTGAACGCCTTAGTCCCCGGAAAGGGTAATAGCGAGTTCGATCCCAACCGCAGATACCTACGGTCCGGAGCTTTGCAAATATCTCAACATCGCTATAGATGTATTTCAGATAATACCCTGCCATGAAAAACGAATAGGCAGTGAATAAAAAATCATTGCATTTAAAATCATTAAAGGCAAAAACCAAAAAGAAACCAGCAATTAGAAATATATAAAGTGGCCCGAAAGACAGAGTTTCATGCTGCCGAATATTTGCGCTGTGGAAACGGTGACAGCGTATGTCGAAACGTCTCATATTCCCTACACAACGTTGAACCAACAGTACAAGTTGTAAACGGCAACGAATTTTCAAGTTACCACCACTGGACTTGTGCGCCAGTCGATCAATTTATACGGAAAACGCTAGTTTTAGATGAATGTTATCATACAAGGAAGATCGTTACACCTCTGATGCAAGCAAAGAATAAGAACTGATTGTGTACAGTGAACAAGGCTGAGAAAAAGGCGAACCGAAGGACCCAAATGGTGTTGAACACGTTAGCTACCGGAAACGGCAATAGCGTGTTCGATTTCCAATGCAGACACCTCAGGTCCAGAGTTTTGCCAATATCTCAGAATAATTATGGTTATATTGCACACAATGTTAAAAATCAACGTCCGCAACCTCTCCCAATATGGATGATTTTTCACGATTCTATTGTTTCAATACAAGAAAAAATTCAGTAAAGATCTATACAAAGAGTGCTGCTTCATACATCGAAGGGAAAGAGCAAGGAAAAAATAACCTTCACAATAAGAATGTTCGCTTTGATTTTCCTTATTCTCATCGGGGTGTTCAGTATGCAGAGCGACTTCGTCCTCCAAAAAAAGGTCACGTCGCAGAGTTCCCTCTTCGACATCACACTCAACATCAGAAACCTGGAACAATTAGGTTCAACGCACGCCAACGCAGATAGAGTTGATTTCAAGATTTTCGTCGCTACCCTCAAAATAGGACGCTCACAGCACTAAGAGCAGTCCAAGCGCTGTCCAATACATATGGGATCGATTCCCGCGACCTAGGCCCACCAAGCCCTCCATCTCTGAGCTTGGCAAATTGGGACTATTTATATGGGAAGATATTAAGACTGGCTGGATACCTCGGTAGGCCACCTCGGGTCATTGCGAAGACCATATATGGATTCAATCACCTCCAAACGATGCCTAGTGAAATCGAATGCGAGGCGCATCCCTCAAGGAATGATCAACTCCGAGAGTGAACTCTTACCCTCATAGTACATGATTCGTTCTTGTTGCATAGCAGTCGCTAGTACTTCAGCAAACGAAATATCTCAATTCCAAATTTTTGCGTAATTACGACCGGTATATAGTTCAAATTTCAGACATAAGTAACTACTATTTATTCCATTATTCATAGAAAGCATACGTCAGCAGATTTAACGCGTACTGTAAGAGGCAAGTACCTTATGAGTCATTCAGATGAATCTAGTTTAGACTATGGTAAAAACACTGATGACAAAGAAGAGGCATGATAACTCGTCGCATGATGCTAGGTCAGAGATCTGTCGTACTGTTATATAAGTACACTCGAAATTTTCTTGTTCTTTAAAATTTAAATATCAGAACAACGACAACCATTTCAAACGAGGACGATATACCACTAGTTACACTTGAACGTATAAATGATAACATCGAAATAAGTTAACACATAACCGATGTACCTTTTCTTTTGTTACGTGCTTCTTATCGTTGGCTTCAATAACCGAAGCTTTCATTGGAGAAGCAGTTGATGTAGGTGTATTACCAACATAGTCCACAACTTGCCCACAGGATACGGTTATCTCCGTCTCTAATTCTGTATCCAGCTTCTGCTGAAGAAGTAGTATATTAAACTAAAAAATTTCATCACTATAACCATAATGATGGTGAGGCATTTGGAAAACTCCGGACAGATGGTGTCTGCGGTGGGGACCGAACAAGCTATTACCGTTTCAGGGACTAACGCGTTCACCACCACACCATGCAAGACGTATCGCCTTTCTCTCAGCCATTTTATTCACCTAGAGGTTCTATTAGCAATCACCTGTCAACGGAATTGATCTGAGGAGCACAGGTAAGCACTGAACCAGTTAAGATGAAGCTGCGGTATAAATCATAATGTAGTCACTTTTTATTTAACTTATTCTTCTTTAATAGCAGGGTATGATGTAGAATTTCGTTAGTATAGTTAAACATGCATGGAACGATAAAACAAACAAGGTGATATATAAAAAGACAAGCCCGCCTCATTTTTCTTTTCCTTCACTTCCTTCTTCCGTCCCAGTTTCACTTTCGACTTATGTTTTTCACGATCATGATTGAAAAGTTTCCGAGCATTTTCACCAAATACCTAAAGTCCAAAATTCAGTATAAAACATAATCAACATTTGTTGAGCTTACACGAGATTGATAAGTTAGCTTTATTCGCCTAACGTTTCGACGTCTTCTGAGGAATGAGAACTCGAGTCATGGGCTTTTAAGGAATGAGGATTCAGATCATCGGCTATGGGGAATGAGGACTCGGACTATCGGCTTCTGAGGAAAAAGGATTCGAATCATCAGCTTCTGAGGAATAAGGGTTCGGTTCATCGAATTCTGATGAAAACGAAGACGTTGAAATATTAGCTGAATAAAGCTAATTTATCGACGTCATGTAAGCTCGACGACTTAAACACATCATAATTATTTCCTACCGAGATTAAATGACGGTCGGTTTGAAAATTAAAACATAATGCTCTAACAAGCGAAAAAGTAATCAGCTAACCTTTTCGAACTCTCTTTCGTCATCGTTTCCACTAAAGAAATAAAACACTACAGCAATGATACCAGCCAAACCAGCGAGAACACACGCAAGTGTAAGCGGATCCAGCATCTTTGCCACTTCGCCGGTTAGTACTGAAGTAGACATCGTTAGCGCAAACGCCTCCGCCGATCTGGATCAAAAGACTCATGGATAATCCTACAGTGGATTTGATCACTCAGGATAAATATCGATACTACTGAAACGTGAAGGGTAACTCATTAGTCACACAAATGCTGACCGGTAACGAAAGAACCGAAGAAGAAATGAACGATATGAGTGGGAAATCAATCGGTAATGGTAAATGAAGATATCTCGACAATGACTAATGTTCCAAAAAAAATCAATATGCAATTACGGAAAATTTCTGGATCTAAGGTAACAGGGACTTCTTTCTTGTTTTTTGCCGAGGTGCGGAAGCACTTGCCTGAGTAGACTAGGTATCAATTTAACCCTTCCAGACTCTAAACGGAGCAAAACCACCAAAACGTTAGATATTATTGGTTAAATCTTGTTGTAAACAATCTGGCGTCTACTCAGAATGAAAGCTTTCATCGGAATTGTTGGGTTAAAAGGCCATTACGAAAAATCATCAAAGAAACGCGGGCTTTATGATGGACCAAAACTAAACGAAGACTTTTTCGAATGTAGTAAACACAGCGACCCATTTACGACGGTGTTTTACAATTATAAAAGTATTTATTTACAGGAAAATAGGCTATGAATAATCGACGACGAAGTGGTCCTAAGGCTAAGGCGACGGCTCACGTCGCGCGCGGGCCGCGTATGCAACGTATGGCGTCATTTGGCCCGCCCCCGACAGAGCGGCGAAGGCGGAAGGGCGCGACGGAGTGCGCTGAGCACGGCCGTCCGACGTCGAGTGAACGGCTGCCTACATTCACTCATGAGGACCCTCATGGCGTGTTGGTGGACGCGTTAGCCCTCGGAAAGGGTGATAGTGTGTTCGATCCCCACCGCAGACACCTTCGGCTCGGAGTCTTGCAAATATCGCAGCATTGTTGTCGTTGTATCACACATAATACCCCGCCATGAAAAATTGTAATAGGCAGTAAATAAAAAAGTTAACATTGTGATTTCAACTACACGCATTGTTGAAAAATTCGAGGTTCATCTAGCTTAGTGGCTAAAGGTGCTCTGCAATACGCAGGTGGTCGTTGGTTCAACATCGCGCCCCGGGCTCGCCAAGCCTTCCCACACTCCGTCGTCGGAAAATTGGTGGCAGACTTGTCTGGGAGGATATCAGGATTGAAATGATATATCGGTAGGCCATCTTTTCATCACTAGAATCGCCTGTGATGAATGCAGTTTGAGTGCGTGAATGGACTACTTTTGAAGACCGTAATTTGTGTGAGGACTTCTTAGTGTGGGAAAATTAGATTTTTCCAAAGAAGGCAACGTGAATTTGCAGAGTTGTCCAGAGTTTCTCAGTTTCCATACTGTTCATTAAGGAAATAGTCCATGGGTTTAGCATCTTCATGTCTCATAGACCCAAATATCCAATTAGGCATACAGAATTTTGCTTTAGCCTTACTAGTTAAGTACTTAAGCCACTCTCACCTGGGTGTCACAAGTACGACTGTACAAATATCAATCATTCCGTTCGTAAGAATTGCTCCATGGGGGTAATTTGCTTCTTACATGAGCTCTGAAAATCTCCTTAACGTTTCTGAAGAGTTTTCTCTCACCGTAGAGGGAACTTGCTGAAAATGAACCACGAATTCGTTCGCTCATCTTTTGGCCGTTAGTTTCCAAAATGTTTGAATTCTTCTGAAGTGAGTACATCAGTACCTCCTTCAAAGATCTCCGAAGTCAACTACGTAGTTTTTTGCTCTAATCAATCATGGTTTAGACAGGAGAACATGACAATAACCTTCCATATTTGAGCTCTTCGACGATGAAGGCGTGATCTGAACATATGGATTAGATTGTTGAGGTAAACCTAGATCAGTTTTGGGTTACCTCGGTGAGCAACTCGTCGTCTACGACTATGTTTTGTACTATACAATAGTAATGCTACAAGTGAACAGGGTACAGGGAACAGGAACAGGCCCGTGCTTTCTTCTGAGTTACGCGAAGTCCAACCCTTTATCCATCTTCGTTGAGCCCTTTGAGCCTGTTTTCTGCTTCGGTGACACTTTTGGAAAGTGGTATTTAGGAAAACGAATATCCGATATGATTTCGTCATCTCTAAATGTACTCCTTCCGCCTAGATCTAGATAATTTTTCATCCACTGCAAACTGGCTGAGAACAAATTCGACAAAACGACGTTACTTGTCGAACCTCTTTTTTTTCTAGGGGTTTGTTAAAGGGTGCCTCTGTGAAGATGAAGACTAATGACGTCTATTTTTATGTGAAACGCCTCCACTTTTCAGTCGACAAGCATTACACAATGACGTCTTTGTAGCATTTTGAAACACATTTTCTTAACTCTTTTATTTACTGCCTTTTTCTTCTTAATGGCAGGGTATGTTGTGAAATATAACTCGTATGAAGTACTGAGATATTTGCAGAACTCCGGACCACAGGTGTATGCAGTGGGGAACGAACACACGCTGTTGTCCTTACCGAGGAGGAGCGCACTTCACCACTACACCATCCGGGTGACCCGTATATAACGAGGCCTCAGCTTAACTGGGTTCAATGCCGATATTAGCTCCCCAGATCAATCCCGTTGACGGGTGATTGCTGATGGCAAAAAAATCGATAGAACTAGCTGAGATATATGCAAAGCGAAGGACCCGGATGGTGTAGTAGTGAAGTGCGCTGCTCCCCGGTAAGGACAACAGCGCGTGTTCGTTCCCCACTGCATACCTGTGGTCCGGAGTTTTGCAAATATCTCAGCACTTCATACGAGTCACATTTTCTTAGTTAGCAAAGGTCTTGACAAACATAAATACCTCCAATAGACACTAATCAGCCTAACAGCGCACTAAACACATCGATTCTAATAAATATAGTGCGAAAATGATGGTTGCCTTCAAACAAGAAATCCGTGCCAACCAGAGTCAAAATTTCTCATATTAGCATGAATTCTTGATTTTTTTGGAATCCACAAAGCGTATTTTCTCGCTTTTCTTCGTCGAAACTTGTACCTTGAATAGGAAAGCAAGCCTGGTCCCGTTCAGTAAGTTACGATTGTCTTCCTTAGTGTAGTGTCAGAAATTCTCAAAGTTTTCGGAAATTTTTGCCTTAGAAATTTAAAATTGAAGGAATATTGTGTATAAACAATGTACACACTCCACACAATAGAGTAAAGTTTCGTATATAATGCTGAGATATTTGCAAAACTCCGGACCACAGGTGATGCTATCTGGTTGCTCGTGAGTGGAGCAAAAAATTAATCTCTCGTTTATAGCGTTCAATGAGTTGCAGTGTTGATGCGCTGGTGTAAAAGATTGTGTCAAGTAAGGGTGGCCTCAAATACCGTCGATTTGACTTCTCCTGACTTCTTCTTTTCCATAAAAGCTCCACGTTTTTGTCTGAAATGCCCTCATACCCGGATATCAAAACTTTCTTAATGATCGATGCACTGTGGTTCGATGGCGCTTGCTTGATGTTAACTTTTTATTTATTGCCTATGAATGCGTCGTTTTCTTGTTCAGCAATCAGCGAGGTTTTAAACAGCGTACATTTACTTCCATAGAGAAACACAATACAATACAACGCTAGCTGACGTTTCGGCAGTATCGCCTTCTTCAGAGCCGCATTTTACGTGACTTACAATGAGGAAGTTTAGAACAGCTGATTATAGTCGCATATGGTTTTTCGAGAAGTTGTTGATCGTGTAATTACCACAGAGTTTTTCGTCCTTTTATAAGTGTTATTGAAGCGTTTGGCCTAGTAGATCGAATATCAGCATACCCTTCCAGGCTCTGAAGAAGGCGATACTGCCGAAACGTCAGCCAGTGTTGTATTGTATTGTGTTTCTCTATGGAAGTAAATGTACGCTGTTTAAAACCTCGCTGATTGCTGAACAAGAAAACGACGCATTCATAGGCAATAAATAAAAAGTTAACATCAAGCAACCGCCATCGAACCACAGTGCATCGATCATTAAGAAAGTTTTGATATCCGGGTATGAGGGCATTTCAGACAAAAACGTGGAGCTTTTATGGAAAAGAAGAAGTCAGGAGAAGTCAAATCGACGGTATTTGAGACCACCCTTACTTGACACAATCTTTCACATCACCTCATCAACACTGCAACTCATTGAACGCTATAAACGAGAGATTAATTTTTTGCTCCACTCACGAGCAACCAGATAGCGTCATATTTTGAACTTATGCGGAAAATTAGCAAATGGTTCTCTACTTAGTTTAGGTGCATGGAGCTTTTCTCTCACCTATTCAATCTGTCGTGTTTGGGACACATTTCTGACACGCATAGAGCGCTGTATCTACTCCTATGTCTATCAAACAGTTTACCACGCTTTCAATGGAACAAACGTTTCTGTCTGCAAAGCCTCAATAGTAGCAACAGAAACTGTAAATTACAGGAAGTTGATTTGTAAGAATTTCCCTATACAGATCTGGATTTTAGCACTCGTTTTTTTCGATTTATTGCCTTCTAACCGTCAAGGAAAGTGGCTTCGTGTGTGACTTTTGCATGGCTTGAAGTTCGCCTCGCCCTATCACTGACGTTTTGAATGATAGCTTGCGTGGTTTCCTTTGAATTCTTTGACAGCACTAGGGCTGCCGATACTTCTAACGACACTCTCATGTGGTGATCAGTGCTTTTGTGTCGGAGCAGAATTTAGTGCTTGACATCACCACAGTTTCGAAAACAGCCAATAATGCAGAAATGATATTCAAAAAGGTCAAATAAGCCTGAGAAAAAGGACTGTGGTAAAAGAATTTGTAAGAAAACCTAGTTTATAAGGAGTCGTGGTGGAACGGGAAGCGATGAGGTGGCTTGATTACGAGGAACACACCATGGCTTGATTACGAGGAACACACCATATGTTAATCTGTTGCAATCAATGAACATGAAAACCGGTATAAAGAAAGGGCTATGAAAGAGGTTCTAATGAAGAACCTAAAAGCACTGATCACCACATGAGGGTGTCGTTAGAAGTATCGGCAGCCCTAGTGCTGTCACAGAATTCAAAGGAAACCACGCAAGCTATCATTCAAAACGTCAGTGATAGGGCGAGGCGAACTTCAAGCCATGCAAAAGTCACACACGAAGCCACTTTCCTTGACGGTTAGAAGGTAATAAATCGAAAGAAACGAGTGCTAAAATCCAGATCTGTATAGGGAAATTCTTACAAATCAACTTCCTGTAATTTACAGTTACCGAAACAACGCCTCATGAACAGCGCTTCTAAGATGGGCACGCGTGTTTGTCCCTCCAAATACCAAAACTACTTCGTCGAAAAATTTAATACCGAAGACGAAATTTAAAATACGGCAGTGTACTCTTTCCTTTTTCCTTCTTATATGAGTTCAAAAACAAAGTCATTTAGTTGGATTTGTCTCACGACCTTCTTTCTGCACCGCAAATAAAAACGCTGCGGCAAATCTATTTCTGGAATTCGAAGTATTCATCACAACTTCTATGTTCTGATTACGTCAGCATTCGTTATTCTATAAGTTTAAATCAATCTCGATTGTTGCTCGTTCTGTCACCTGTCAGAACAATAACGTATCAGGCTTCATGACAACGTTCGTGGTAATTGTTCAACCATTCGTCAAGCTTTCCATCTTGTCAATGTCAGCGCTAGTTCCTTCTGAAGCCACCAATTTGTCCGTAAACCAGCTTTGACTACTGGCTCGATTGTCGGCGTCAACAGCCAGTAGGTCCCTACGTCCTTCTTAATCACCAACACTCATATCTTCTGCAAAACTTTCAGAACCATCCGCACATTGTGCGTTTGATGTGATCACCTGGTCTCATTCTTCTATAATATTCGGTTTACTCCATTAGCAATCCATGAACCAAAACAGCATGAATTTCGTGCTTCAATACTATCATTTCAGCTAGCCTAGGATCACTGAAAACCAAATATTAGGAAGAAAAGATACAGGGCGAATCCTCAAGCGATAAATGGGCTTTGAAAAGATTTAGAACAACAATGTGGCCAGTCGTTGTTTGTTACAAAGTGCGTTTGTAAAAATTATGAATAAATAAAAGGTTAAAGCTCTCGGCGTTGATCAATACATGAGGGATGCGCCATGCGTTCCACTTCCTTAAGCATCGTTTACAGGTTATTGAATGAATATCTGGCCTTGACAATGGCTCGCGATGGCCTACACTTGTATCGAACCGGTGCTGCTATGCTCCCAGACACGTTTGATACAAATTTGCCGAGCCCGGAGGAATGGGAGGCTTGGTGCGCCATTGGAGTAAGAATTGATCCCATGTGTGCAGCAGGGCGCCTCCGACCACTGAGCCACCGCGCCCTTGTTTTAATCCAGTGTAAAAATCATAATAACAAAAGTATTCATTTTTTGGAGCAACCATGGTAATCTATCCGCCGAAAGCATCTTATGATACAAATTTTTGGATGGAACTATTGTCGTTTTCGGAGCAAAAGGCATTCTACCTAATAAGTCTATTTCATCCATTATCACTTGACTCAATTTCATCTACAAGAATAGGAATACCGTTCAAATGTGAAGCAGAATGAAATCCGATAAACATAAAGGCCAGTCTAATCCGTTCTTGGTTTATCGCTCCGATCTTTATCATGCCACGAAGAATTTTGTGATAAAGGACAGAAAGATATTATCCTCTACAATTCACGGAATTAACCTCTTATGAAGCGATGCGGGAGAAATGAAGGGGCTCATTACAGAATACCAGCACTAATGCGTATTCGACCCGGATTCTCATGTTAATCGAGTGCTTACTTCTGTATGCCGAAGACATCTACAGCTCGAAAAAGCGTCCGTGGACGAACGACGTTGTTGACAGTGCACTCGACGGTGCGAACCATGTCGACCCTCATTTCGTTCTCCGTTCCCTATGGCTGCACACAATATTGTGAGTTTGCTACCTATAACATCACGACAACAAGTCATTTTGTGGGCTACTTCTATCTCAGATGGCAAGAATTATTGCAAAACCTAAGCAAAAATTTTGGGTGATAGCTCACGATGTCATTTTACAGTACTCGAAGTAGAGTTCGCCGACATTGTGTTACAATTTTCGAGGGCTTCAAGAGTACTTGCTAAATAGAGTGCTTTAGTGCCTTCCGAAATGTACTGGCTTTCAGAACACTTTGTTATATGATATTGCTTTCACTGTTCAAGAAAACGTAGTTCTACGTAAGAGTAGTAGTAATGTTGCAAGAAAAGAATAAAGACATTCCATCTATTCGAGTTCGTGAAATACTTCATCTGTGAACACAACCACTAGTAATTCTTCTTGCTTCGCTTTTCTTTTCTTGTTTTCCTGCTTCAAGAGTTGACCCCCGCGAAGGGTAATTGCATGTTCGATCTGACCTGGGATCCGAATTTTGCAATTATCCCAGAATTATTGTGCTTAGCTTTCACATAATACCCTGCCGTGGAAAAATAATGAATAGTAGATACATTGTTCCGAAATAGTTAAGCTCTGCTAAAAACAGTTAACTTAGTAAACATCACATACGTTCGGCTGTGAGTTTGAGCAGTCAGTTTTTCCTTTATTGAATTTATTAAATAGGCCAACGAAGCTGAGCCTCCAAGTGCAAGCAACCTCGGCGATTATGACGTGGAAATGGGTTCGTCACAAACGGCACTTATGCACAAGTAGGTAAATAATGTTTAAGATTCGATCGTTAATGACAAACCTGAAGTTCTCAAGCTGATTGTGCACCTCAGTAGATTTCGAGACTCAAGCTTTCTGAAGACACCTATCAAAAAGTGCATTTTCCTATTATAAAAGAAGCATAATGGAGTTGAGGTGGTGAGATCGTAACAAATCAAAGTAGTTCTAAACAGCAGCGGTTCATAATCGATTGGGATAAGCTGGTGGGACGTTTACCAATTAAAATTATGTTGTAAGAATACTTTAGAATATATGCTTCATTGTTTCAAGAAGGTATGCCAATTTTCTGTCTGTGCAATGAAGTATTCCTTTTCCCTTTTTATTGTCTTCCATTTTCCACTTCGCATTTTCATGGCTTTTCAACTTCAATTTTCCCGCTTCTTTTGCATAAATAAAAAGTTTCTTGCCCACCCTGATCTTCTTACATTCAAGTGATGCCTAAACTACTCTCCGAATTTGTCCTTTATGCTTTGCTACACACTTTAGCTTCGAAGAAGAGTCAGAGTCACCAACCACCGTGTCACTGCGCAAAAGTTTTCAATCGACACTGAAAAGAACGTAAGTGCGTTCTAACTCAAAAATATACTATTACTCACCCTGGACTGTCTCGGCATCATTCTAAAAATATTGAAGCTAATGAGAAGATAGCAATGATTAACAGACTTAAAAAAACGATTAGGTGAAGAAATTCTTTTCAGTTGCACATGTTTTTTTTTACCATCACATGACCACAGACAAGAGGGTTCCAGCGAAATGTTGTCGTTTTTTGACAAATTTAACCTGGGATTTCACTTCGATGATTTTGCTACTTAAGAAGCTTCCCCTATACCCACTAATGGGAATGGCGAGTGTCCGATGGGTTCCATCTAATCGCTCGCTGAATTTATTTCCCTGGTTAAAAAGCCCATTTTCTATTGGGGAAAACTGGGGCCCCTTCTGCTAAGCAGTAAACGGTTCAGAGCGATTATATGTGAAAACACATAGGTTCTTGATGTTCTCCTGTCCTCTTCTTCGTTGAGGAATTCTCTTCACCACACAAAAAAATATAGCAAAGATTAGCGCAACGAGGTTCTCCGATGTTGTGGTCTGTGGAGTGAAGTCTTGTTTTCAAGTGTTGAATTTGTGGTAGTTAAAACTTCAGAACATGAAAACGTTGATATGGGAAAACTAAGACGATGACTTAAATTGAAGGATTAAATATTCTATTCTACATTTATTCAGACGCCCATGGCTGAGCGTACTAAGTGCTCCTTTTCGTTTCATCTTAATCAAATTCAAACTTCTATTCGTGATCGCTTTTTATTCAGTGTTTGGCGCTTGGATGTTCATGACATTGGAGGTAACTATTATTCTGTTTAACACGTTCCATTCAAGAATTATTCATTCATGGCCTACGGCAGCCCTACTTTTCTTTGGAAACAGCATACATTTTGGCACAATTCTTTCTCCACAAGGTTACCTCTTCTCAGCGAAGTTTTGCGACTCGAAGTGTCTCCGACAATTTTACGCTTTAGACATCATCAAACACTGTTTTTGTCGTTCGTCGTACTGTTCACCTCTATTGCTCCGTGCAGTTTTTCAATGAGCACTTCACAGAGCGAAACGTCATACATCGCTTGAAGAATTTTCCTGTATTCCTGTATGAGTAGTCCGGTTAGAATCTAGAAACCGGATTTCATTTAATCACGGCACCGCCAATTAATTAGTTTAATGGTAAAAGCCTACACAAGATTGCCACAAAAGTTTGGTGCGGTTAACACTTCGGTCCCATTATCTTTTTTCAGTCAATCGTTCGACTCGAGTGTTCATAAGTATTAACCACTGCGATGTGTAAATTTTCGTAATCACATCGAATCGAATCGAGTAAAACACCGCGCAAAACTACCAAACATATTTAATAGAACCTTGTTGGGAAAGGAGATGGTGCAGTGGTTAGTGATGTCGTTGACGAGAAAGCAAAGGCGCTAGTTCGATCCCCGCCGCAACGTTCCTCAAGCAGCAGCTGAAACAACGCACGAAACATTCGAGGATTATTCTGGACGATGAATGTGAGCAAACGAATCAAATGCAAAATGAGCTGGGATCTGCGCAACAGATGCGATGACGGGTCGTGAAATATAAAAGAAAACAGAATTTAATTGATTAAGGTTTTGTATCCTTAGCGATCCTTTAACCTCGCGATCTGGATGTCCATTGTCGCATTGAGTCGAATCGCTGGCGACAACGAACACCCACAGCGAGACAACGACCAGTTTGGAACCATTGAAACGACCGGTTTGGAGCCATAGATTAAGAGCAACGCGGCTCTGAAGAAAGCGAAGGCGCCGAAACTTTAACCGAGTGAAAGTTTTCATATTAACCTCGATCATCTAAAAAATCATTGAATAAACTTCTCTTTAACTCTAGGAAAACTTAAGAGTCTGCGTTGAGCATACCAAACCTTTGCAACAAAAACTAGCTCAAACTCTGCGAATGTTTATCTACAAATCTACAAGTCATGAGAAATATTTACGGGCTTTCTACAGAGCGTCCTGCAGAGCGCAGTAGTGCAATTCAATGAGTGGCGTTCATTGTTCACTGTAATCATATCAGAACATTGAGCTATAATCATATCATGCTGAATGACTACTGGATTATTTGGACATGGCTTTTGGGAAAATATAGGAGAAGAAAATGCCTTTTAGTTGTCTTTGTAATTCCCTATCCACGTCGAAGGGAAGGAAGGATCCTGTTTCTGTTTCAGCTACATTTATCTAGATTGGGAGGTCAATATGTGAAAAGACAGCTTTGGAGCTGTTTTGAGAAAATTGCTGATGTGGTGAATAAGACAGAGGAAGATATATTGAGCTAGAGCAGGAAGCCAGCTGAACAAATGGTTTATCTTTTCATGAAGGTCCTCATGAAAACGACTGATGCCCTACGAGGTGTTCTTGCATGGAACAGAAGCAAACAAAGGCACTGTTAATGCTCGTTGGAGTCGTTCTGCAATCAAAAAAAGAATAGGCGATAGAGTGAAGTTAGACCCACCTTGTCACGAAAATAGGGGACATGGAACATTTGTCGAGCTTCATTTGCATGTTTGTTCAGTCTTCCTCGACTAGAAAGATTAGGGACTATTCCTAGATTTCTAGCAGTACCATTTTTATGACTTCGTCCTATTCTTTTGCTGACAATTCCACAGATCCGTTCAACATTCACCTTGTGAGGCAGGCAGGATTTTTGCTTTACATCTACATCTTCTTTTCCTCTCCATAGCTTGGAAATCCTAATACAGTAGACTCTCCATTTTTCACAAGGCGTGTATGCATTAACGATGTGAGCACGCTTATTGATCATTTGTACAAATAGGTGCGAAAACGATTCAAATTTAGCATAGTGATAAAAAATAGACAGCGTTCGCTTTCGATTCCAAGTTTATTTCTTGCCTAATTTTAGACGCTCCATATTTTTTTGTTCAGCAATCGCGAGGCTGCTGAACAGCATACATTTACTTCCATAGAAAAACACAATACAATACAACACTGGCTGACGTTTCGGCAGTATCGCCTTCTTCAGAGCCAGGAAGGGTGTGCTGATATACAATCTACTGGGCCAAACGCTTCAATAACACTTACAAAAAGACGAAAAACTCTTTGGTAATTACATGATCAAAAGCTTCTCGAAAAACTAACCGCTTTTTACGCGACTGTGAAAAGATATTCCTGTGAGCTCCTCTTGTTGAGCCAACGCGAAGTAGGTATCAGTTGCTCTTGTTGTCGTTATTCGGTTGCTGACGTTTCGGCAGTATCGCCTTCTTCAGAGCCTGGAAGGGTATACTGATACCAGCAAAATACTTTCGACTTATGAAGGAAGCATTGTCACTAAGACAAAAGGTTGTCTTGGCTAGACAGCAAATCAGCTTTCTCCGCCGCTGTTTTCAACATCGAGTCGTGCCGAAAATTGTATATCAGTATACCCTTCCAGGCTCTGAAGAAGACGATACTGCCGAAACGCCAGCTACTGTTCTATTGCATTGTGTTTTCTGTGGAAGTAAATGTATGCTGTATAACAGCCTCACGATTGCTGAGCAAGAAAACGACGCATTCATATTCCAATGGCGAGGTTAATAGAAAGTCGATTCTGGGAACTCCATATTTTCTTGTGACTTATTTAAAGATAGGCGATTGACCCAATTAGAGCTGAGGGATTATCTAGAAACTAACTGGTTTAAATAGCAGCTTGCTAAAGCTGAAACAGAAACGCTGACGATGACGGATAGGGTTCTGTTTTATAAAAATTAATCGGTGGGATGTAAACAATAGTGGTTAGGGATTCTACAAAACACCTGCTTTGTCGTCCGTTCGAAACACGAAACACATAAAACAGTTGTTTTGGTAAATCAGTATCAGAACTTGTCTGGAAAACCGTCCCTGAAATACATAAAGGTCCATGACTAAATGGAACCTGGTAACGCTCTAGAAAACCTATCCCAGGATTTTAAAGAAAGTCGTTTCGATCAATATTCGACCGGAATTCGTGACAGAGTTGTGCTCAACTAGTAACCGAGCCCATAAATTAATCTGAAGACTTTTATGAATGACAGAAGCAAAATACTGACTTGAGTGAGAAGTGTTGAAATCCCATATTATGCGAGGACGTGTCATACAAGGAATCAAAAAGTTTGAAGTTATGCAGTGTTATATTCCGTATAAAAAAGATGTTTTAAGTATTTATAACTCTTCTAATAACATAAAAGCCTTCACAACGTGTGTCATACTTAAGGTACCAACCGATTTAGCAGCCAAAGAGGAAGCTTATCATGCTCGCCTCATTGCAAGGGATGTAATGATTCTCAAGTAAGTTGACTGGAAACTCTGGACCTTCATGACAGGCTATAAAACAAATTTTACAATTCTATGCTTGATAGAAAGATCAAACAAAGAAAGAAGACTAATATAAGAAAAAAAATAAAATTTTAGGATTGATCCTTAAAAACAACTATTAAATTGGAAATTTTAGTCTACGAGATATTCATCAAAACAACAAAGAGGACAGAGAGGAGAGGTGGAAAGAATCAATTTTGTCATTTGAAAATGACCTAGGACTAGATGAACCCGTTAGAGAAACCGCTTGGACGTTCTGGATGGCGTTCCTCTATGCAGGCACCATATACACAACGATAGGTAGTTATCATGAGTAGTACAAATTGCTTATATTATAATACAGTTGTAACTAGTAAAGGTAACTTAAAAGGTATTTTTAATTAGCATACTTTTAATGCCCATCATAATTTGTCAATGCAAAACGCTTCATTCCTCTCAACAGATTACCGCCTCATCGTGGCTGGGAGGTGTTCCAAGGTGTCAGGCTGCGTTGTACAGCGGTGGGATTCATCCCTCCGGCAGGACCTCCCAACATGAGAAGGCGTTTCCATCAGGGAGTCTAGCTAAGAGTAAACCAATACCAAGATCCACCACCGCTCTAGTATCAAAGTCGCATGGTGGCAAATCTCACTCTGATCCAGAAAGGCCGCGACTACACGTGGTGGTGAAGACTTGGGGCAGATTTTAGCCAGGCTGGCCTCGGGTTTCCAAGAAACAACAATTGGTTAGCCAGCAAATCTCCGAAAAGTGGTGATTATGCTGGTGCCACCACAGCCAGTGAGGACGGACCGCTCAAGTATCAAGTAAGTAAATGCTTCATTTTTTATTGGAACCATATCAATCCATCTCTTCTTTCTAGTATTGAACAGCTCCATTTCCATAAAGTTTAACAGCCAACAAAACTAGACATAAGAAACCAGAAAAAAAAAATGAAAAAAAGAAAGAGAGAGGAAAAAAGTTAGAGGAAAAGAACACTTTGAATCGCAGGTATAAATCAGGTATTTTTTTCAGGAGAAATGATCACTTAGATCCTGAGAATAAAATGTTAACGCGCACTACGCTATTGTTACTAGTATTGTTATTCTTAACTTAAAAATTAGCAAAAAGGCAAAACGGTTGCTCGTTTCTCCATAACTTTTGTCGTTAACGTTAAGGGTATGGTAACATCGCCTGTGCAACGACCGCTGGCAAAGTGGCAACCATTTGCTACTCGATGATCGGTATTCCCATTATGCTGGTGATTCTCAACGACTTAGGCTCACTTTTACTGATTTGGGTGAAATATATAGCAAATAACACTTGTGATCTTCTTCTGTTTTTCGGTAAGTGCTGCAAGTTCAATTACTAGTGGCTAACCTTTAAACTGTTAGTTAAACGTTACATACTTGTTACTTCTTTCTAATCAATCTTAGTCTTAGTAGGCTTTTTAAGCGGTTCGAATGGGTGCAATTGGCCTGAAGGAAAATTCTGACAGACGATTACGGTACATCTTCATCAGCAGGAAGTTAGCAAATGCCGGAATTCTAAGCACAGCATCTGTCTCCACAACCGTTACGGTAGGATCACCTCAAATAACAATGGTGCTCCTTGTACATCTCTTTCTAACTACTTGAAGATAAGAACACGAGCAAGGCGTGATCGGATAAATGGAATAACATCCCCAGTGTCTATGCAATATTTGAACAAAAACGCACTTTATAACTAACAGCTCCCATTCTGCTCTCTGTTAATCAACAGCAGCACTTAGAGTGTTTCTTGTTACTCATATGTAGTTTGACAATGGCTTCAGTTAGAAGCATAGTTCAATGTAATAATATGAAGAAGAATCACTCAGTGAAACCTTTTAGGAGAACGTACGGAAGCAGTCCGGTGCCTATGGGAGTAAACTGTAAAAGCAGTGTACCAAATTACACTATATGACTGATTGATCAAAAATCATTTGAGATCAGTAGCTTGATGAAATTCTAGTTGTCATCCCAACAGAGCCACGCTTTCGACGTTTTTTGCACGTCGGAGCCACTTGCATGAAGTTTTTTGGAGGAAGATTCCAAATTTGCATTGGCCATAAGACCTAACTGTATTTGCGATAATGCCTAGTTTTTGACGACTGTATGATAAGGCGAAGTTCAAATCTCGCCATTTGAGTGTTGAATTGGATCCAATGCGCACTGTTGTTGTCTTTCAACCAAAAGGAGAAGTCAGGAAAAAATCTTTCTTACTATTGAAAGTTTCTAAACAACTTTTTTAGCACAAAACCTGAAGAATCTCCATGACAGCGATGAAGTTATTTGCAATGCTGTAAGAAAGAGACACAGACTCCTGGCGGGACAAAAACAACTCCTCCAGAAACTGTTTTTCGAAGATTATTAAGCATAGTAGCCTTCCTTGTGACATATTCGTACCAAATCTGCAGTGACAAGTTATAAATTGAGTTAAAGAATCATTAAAAAAAAAACTCTGTCGGGAGAAAGAAACTGTCGGAAAGAAAAGAGTACACTGAAGTGGGCGCTCATTGTATCAATAAGGCAGTTTCCAGTCCTTTCTGATGTCTTGCAAAACGGATCAACTATATCTCTTTCTCTTCACTAGAACGCCTTGAAGTGTATCAAATTCTTCCTTTGTACAGAAATCGTGATGAGTGATTGCATTGAACGGAAGCAAACTTCCTCATTGTATCGTTTGTCCTCGTTTTCTTTTTTCCTTTTGTGTTCGTGCCAAATGATGACCTATGAAGCTGATAACTTTAGCAAGAAGAACAAGACGGTAACATTGAAGAGCCATCACCTGATCCACCCATTTTCTCCGCACTGTTTGGTGAGTTATGCTGAATATGAAACTAGAAATAAGCGAGCATTATGGCTGGTAATTGAAGAAAGACTTATCGCCTATTGTACCGTTTATTCATTAGCTTTTAATGTGGCATAGCATGAAAAGTTCAACGTGTTACATTTCACAAAACTTTCTAGCAAAGCTGTTTCTTTGCTAAACTATTTTGGTGATGTTGTTGAAAAGTAAAAATTCAGGAAAAAAAAGTAATAAGGCTAAGAACAAAGACTTAAACTTATTCCGAATCGTTTGTAGTTATATCTCCAAACAGCCAGCAACTTGGTAACAATTTGCGGCGGTCAACGGATCTACATTTCCTATCGTTCCTGTTCATAACATGCCAGCTTTAGTACCATTCCAGAAATACGTAGTGGATATGATGTCATCTTTTTCGCATTAAAAAGAAAACTGTGTTGAACGGACCCGCTTTTGCCCCTTCCGGAACTAACGCGTTCACCACCACACCATGTGGGTCATTTGTTTCTGCTGTCTCTGTCTACCATGCCAATGATCGAACTAGACGAGAGACAGGCGAAACGAAGGACCTGCATGGTGTGATGGTGAACGCGTTAGAACCCGGAAAGGGTAATAGCGCGTTTCAAAAAGAAACCGTGTTGCAGCAACTGTTGCATGGATCATGCTATCAGCAGCAGTGTTCTGCATCTGGGAGGACTGGACGTATTTCACAAGTGTCTACTTCTTCTTCATTTCGTGCAGCACAATAGGTACTCCGGTGGCTTCCCGATGATACGTGGCACAGCTGTAGAGACCAGTTTCATCACGTATGCTGCACATTATACCTTTTTGTTTCTTTAAACGAAACGCCTAGGTTTGGGAGATGTGACGCCAGATCACCCTGAATATATGATCGCCACCTTCGGTGTGGTGGTAGTCGGTCTTTCATTGGTCTCGGTGTGTATCGATGTTGTAAAGGAAAAAATTGAACTCATGTACATGGCGCTGTTGAAGAAACTTTTACAGGTAAATTGACACAGCTTTTTCTTTCCCACTTATTCGTAATACCTAGATCCTATCTCAACTGCTTTTATTATTACAAGCAAGCCGCTTCTATCGCCTGGTCACGATAATTATTAATTAGAGAATTGCAGTATATTTCCGGTTAATTAAATAAGAAACGGAGTAAGTATAGTAGTCCTCTAACATTGCACGGGTTCCGTAGAATAACAGTAGATGTAGTTCTTTCGCATCTCGTCTTAACTCTATGAAGAGAAATTAGATATGTCGTTCTTCTTTATTTAATATCATCACTAATAGGAAGAAAACATCGATCTCTTTCAGGACTATATGGAAGCAGTTAAAAATGGTGATCCCAATGCAGCTGCTGGTATGATGGCCGGTTTTCAGGGAAAAGCGAAATTTCTCCTACCGCTGATAAGGTAATGGAAGACATTTCCTCATAGCTTACGTTATCTTTTCTTTTTCTATTCTAAATACATAATAGTCACACGAACAAGAATTCACTGTGAGCGAGACGAATAGTACCTGCGTTAACCATCACTGGTTTCAATGTCTCTGCAGACCAACTTAGCCCTCAGTTTCTCTGGGGTTAGTCAGTTAGGAAGAACATACCTGAAAAGATAAAACGCTAGCGCCCCTAATTCAGGTCGCATAACTAGATTTCGCTGCTTTGCTCTTACAATAAATACGTAGTTTTAGTGGTATATTATCTTTCCGAAGCATAAGAAGGGCCCTATTTTATGTCTGTCTCTTATAACAGTAATGGTAGGCAAGGGCGACTTTTTACACAGCAAATCCTTTTTCCGGTTTGGTTTCCCTCCTCTTTAGCACATTTGACATGAGCATTCCAGCAAGAAAACGACAACGACATCTGCTGTACTTTCTTCTACTGATTTGAGAAAATCTAGTTGCAGACATTCGCACAACATTCATTTAGTATTATTCATTTAGTAAAGCCCAAGGAACCAGAGTTATGAATCGTTTCAAAGAGGACTGTACAGCTAAGGTGAGTTTCTAAAAACTGTGATTTACATTTCGGACATCTCGGATCAAAGCTGTGGAAATAGTTTGACAACATACTTGCGTCGACGCTTTTCTGAAAAGTTGCCAATGACGTCTGCAGGCGGCGGGCAATCGATTGGGTACAAATGATGCAGCCAAAAAGCGTGCACACAAAGAAACCGACGAAAAGAAAATGAGTTGAAATCAATCCATGTCGTCCAATCTCTTGCCACATGAAATTAAAAAGGTGGACATCGCAGCGAATTTGTTAACTTATTTTTCACACGCTATAACAAAGTCAGAAAATAGTCCATTTGTTATCCTTTGTCATCAAACAGAGGAAATGCAGAGAATCAGAGAAGAGCATAAGGTAAATCAACATATTTTCTCAATTGGCATCTGAATACTGTCCTGTCGGTAGTTCTGCTGTACAAGGATTTTCAATTTCGATCTCACTGATTTTCCAAAATACTTTCATCATACAAAAGCTTGCTTGAAGGTGCCTTTGTTTAGGGCATCAATCCTCCAGCAGTATTGGTTGATCTGGATCCGAACACTGGCGTGCCAGCATTTGCAAACGCCAATAAGGAGGATTTTCATGAATACATTGAACACGTGAGATTTCTAAAAGAAAACATTCCCTATCTTTATTTATTTTCGACTAGCACATATATTTAAACTGCTGCCTGGCATAGTTACAACTGCTACTTCACGATCATCTGTATCACCTGTAGACCTGTTGATCGTCGAGTGACTAGAGCGGGCGCCAGTAAATCTTCCATTTTTCCTTGTCGCGTGCAAGAGTATCCCAGTTGGTCCTGCTCGCTCTAGCGACTCCTCGAGCATCATATCTTTCTTCTAGGATTTTCGCGAAGAACTCTGACCATCGAGTCGGTGATCTTCCTGCAGTGCTTGATTTTTGATCGTTGACGCAGATCGGAGCTTCGGATCCCAACGCTTACTTCTGTGGAACGGGATACTCCTAGCATCGTCCTTTCGACTGCGCGTTTGATAACGCTGAGTGACCTTTCATCCTGCTTACGCAGCGACCAGGTTTCAGACGCATACTTTAGGGTAGGAAGTGTCGTTGAGTCGAAAAGGTGGACACGGAGTCGGGTGTTCTCTGTCCTATTCACTACATCCTCGATACTCTTGAAAGCTCCCCAGCCCGCTTGTTTCCTTTCGACTTCTCCTTCGTCATAGTTTGACTTCGGAGCGTAAACGACGAAGATTGTCAAAGCCGGTATTGATCCACATCTTTTAAATCGTAAACGCCCGATTCAGGTTGTAAGCTGTTCGAATGAGAACGCCGATGCCGACTCCTCTGCTGTGACATGTTCCGAGGAACAGTTCTTCTCCGGTGTCATAGACGGCGTTGAATGGGTAGCGTCGTCTCGTCTCGGCCAGGCTGATGACGACGTACCTTACCCTTCTTGCTTGCATGAACAAGTCTTCTATCGAGGATTCGGATGCAAGTGTACGTGCATTGTAGGTACAGATCGTCACCATAGTTCTTTGAAATCCAGGCAGCTTCCATTGGCCCTGAGACTTTAGCAGCCTCTCCGTGCTCGTCCTATCCAATGCTGCGAAATTGGGAACTCTTTCGTGGTCAGGGGAATGAGGCCTTTTTTTAACTCTGTTTAGCATTTTGATACTCACGTATAGCTTGCTGGGCTCTGAACGTGGTGGTTGGGTATACTCACGGGTAGCTTGCCTCCAAGAGTGGACATGGAGCTTATTTGTTGGAGCCGACTCCTAACCGCCTCCCATATACTTTCCAGTCACTTGATTGAATGCTTTTGGCCAAGTTGACTCGTAGAATACAATTCGCATAAGCAAGAAGGAACCCACACACGCATGCATGAATACGCCTAGCAAATACAGAAAGTATGTGCCAAATCGGTATAGCAAAAGCAGGGAGTCCATCCTCTGGATCCACCTGCGTCTCAGGGAAGCAAAGGTCGCTTGGTTCGCGATTAACTCCCTATCCACCACCTGGGGACGCGCCACGTAGCCTGGCGACTAACCAGCTCAGGATCCCGCATATGCGGGAGATCCATGGGCCACTTTAAGATGTTCCTAACAAATCCTCAAAAATAGCATTACAACTTTAATGAAGCTGAGATATTTACAAAACTCCGGATCACAGGGGTCTGCGGTGGGGAACGAACGCGCTATTGTTTTCCCACCGCAGACACCTGCGGTCCGGAGTTATGCAAATAACTCAGCATCATTAAAGTTATATTTCTCAATATATACCCTGCCCTTAAAAGGAGTAGGCAGTGAATAATAAGTTAAAATTTAGTAGCTTTGCATTTTTTGGATAATTTATTACAAACGAGTTAAGGCTATGGAGAGACGAGCTGAAGAGGCGAGAATAGAAATCACAAAACTCAATCATTTGTTCGAACAAAGCAAGGTGAGATATTTTAAACGAGAAGTAAGATCATTTTTTATATTCACTTTAGGATTCCTATTTATTCGTTGATGAGTGCTCTAAATTACGTTAGATTTGTGCAGGCTACTAATATCTATCAATTCACACATTCGATATGCTTTGTTAAATGGGAACGTTCGTCCACTACGTCATCTTGTCACCTGTGTCGGTCATAGAATGTTTCCATGGGCGCCACTAAAGTCTCCATTAACCACAGTCGTGTGTCACATTCACGCCTTTGTTTCTGTTCATCCGATAAATGCAATCGATGTCATTTTCCTTTCTCCGTTTTAATAATGCTAGTAAGTGAATTGTGGTCTTATTGATTCATTTTGATGAGCTGATCATTTGACAGCTGATGAAAGCTAGTCGTTGGCGACTTATGCAGTTCTGTATTCGATTCATTTCATTTAGAAGTTCACGCACTTGACAGAGTCTCTAGTCCCTAAGCGTTGATGCCAGGCTGACTTCGGGACTCCAGAGAACCATAATGGCTTAACCAGCAAATCTTCGAAAAATGGAGATTATACTGGGGCCCACACAACCAGTGAGGACGGGCCATTGAAGTGCCAAGTGTTCAAATATTATATAATAACATTATATTTGACAAGGCGCAAAAGATAATTCGTTGCTCGTAAGGAGCTCGGAAATTACATTAACAAGTATGTAATTCTGAGATATTTGCAAAACTCCAGACCGCAGGTGTATACGGTGGGGAACGAACACGCGCTGTTGTTCTTACCGGGTTAAACCCATATAACCAAGCCTCAGCTTAACTGGGTTCAATGCCGATTTGGGCTCCCCAGATCAATCCCGTTGACGGATGATTGGTGATGGCAAAAGATCAATAGAACTAGCTGAGAGACAGGCAAAACGAAGGACCCGGATGCTGTGGTGGTGAAGCGCGCTGCTCCCCAGTGAGGAGAACAGCGCGTGTTCGTTCCCCACCGTATACACCTGCGGTCTGGAGTTTTGCAAATATCTCAGCATTACATACTTGTTAATGTAACTTCCGAGCTCTTTACGAGCAACGAATTATCTTTTGCGCCTTGTTAAATATAATGTTATTATATAATATTTGAACACTTGGCACTTGAATGGCCCGTCCTCACTGGTTGTGTGGGCCCCAGTATAATCTCCATTTTTCGAAGATTTGCTGGTTAAGCCATTATGGTTCTCTGGAGTCCCGAAGTCAGCCTGGCCAAAGTCTGCTCCAGGTCTTCACCACCACGGGCAGTCGCAGCCCTTGTGGATCAGAGAGAGATTTACCACCATCTGACTTTGATACCAGGACGGTCGTAGATCCTGGTATTGGTTCAGTCTTAGCTAGGTTTCCTGATGAAAACGCCGGACTCCTTCTCAGCCTGGGACTTCCTGCCAGTGGATGAACCCCCGCTGTACATCGCAGTCGGACACCCAGGAACACCTCCCAACCAAGATGAGGCGGTAAACCGTTGGGAGGATTATATAATATTATAAATATTAAATGTAATAAATATAGTAAGATAACTAGCTGTTGCACTTCTAGCTATTTTTATTTCGCTTGTTTATAAAGCTCTGTAACCATACTTATTCCTAGTAATTATAAGTTTTGGGGGCGGGTAGCCAAGTAGTAGGAGCCCTGATCATCACAAGGTCCGTGCTGGTTCTAACCAGCGCTGAACTGACCAACCTTTTCATACCCACGGAGTGGGGAGCTTCGTACCGGATCTGTCTGGAAGAAGTTAATTCTCTAAAATCCAAGTGAGAACCCTCTAGCTTAGGTATCTCAGGTCTCCAGGCAGAAACAACCCGACCAGAATTCAACAACATTCATTATGAAGAGGAAATCCTCAAGAAGCAATGTAAGCCACATGTAAAGCGTTGAAAAACCTACTTGGGTGATTGATGCGAGGAAACGAATCTAATGCGAGTAGTGCTGGGATTCAGACATCAGATGTGAAAGATGGGTCGTAAAAAAAATTTGAGTTTTCATGACTGCGTATCACGACCGGCTTCTGCGACCACTCGAGTTCTCAGTGTAGTACGTGATTTAAAGCTCCCAGTCCTTCAGACGTCTTATCAAGTATACATATTTGGGTAGTTCGACGGTCCGTCTTCACGACCTGTGCGGACCCCAGCACATATACCATTCGTTCCTTTCTCTCGCAATCGTAGTACATGGTGGTGGTCTTGTTCGAGCATGGCAGCGCTTGCGAGTCTCATGCCGTGATTTGTAAAACAAGTGCAGCTGCGGGTACAGCTGATTAACTGTGTTTACTAACACGTCCGCCCAACGTATCCAAGAGGACGTTTGCATTCTCGTGGAGTCCACTCTAAAGTTCTTTTCGTCCATCTGTCGTCTGTTTTTCCCACTATGTGACCGGCCCATCTATGTCTTGCTATCGATGTGTGCTCTCCTGGGTCTAGAAAATGAGACAGATTTCGAAGATTAAAGCTTCGTATTCCGGCTAGGTATTGAGAAGGCCGATTATATTTCAGAAGACATCTCTCAAGCGCTCTGTAAGTAGTGCAAAGTATTCTTGACGTGGTTGAAGTATCAGCCCTGGTCTCTGCAATGGAGGGCTGGGAGGACCGTGGAATCGAAAAGGTGAGCGCGGATTTTCGGGTCCTTCATTAGGTCGGTGGCTTCCTTGAGATGCCCGAATGCGGCCCAAGCTGCTCTCGTTCTTCTGCTTAGTTCCTCCTTCATGTAGCTTTCCATGTTCATTGATCGCTCAAGGCACACGTACGAGATGGTCTTTGCAGTCAGAAAGCCATCCATTTTCAAGTATTGTTTCACAATATCGCAAAAGTCCATTAGAAGTTATTTGTTTTTCAAAGAATTGCTGTTCATAATCAAGCAGTTGCTTCCGAGTACACTAACTCTGTTGATTGCCTAACATCACGGTCTCCAATGAACATTTATGTTCCAGTGACGTGAACAAAATAATGGAAGTTTTTGATGCTAAGGCCGCTGTTGTTATCGCCTTAATCATCACCGTATCCGTTTTACTTTCGGCAACGTGTTTTAGCCGTTAACTTTAACAGCAACTCCATACTCGTTTCTCTCGATGTTGTTTTATCGGAAAATTCTTCTACCCTCAAGGGAATGCAACCTTTTATTTTTACTATTTTTTGATTGCTCATTTGTATATTGTCGGAATTTTCTAGAAAGCTAGATACGGCTACGGTAAACCCACTGAGTTTAGTCGGATGAGGCTTTGGAACGCTCGGCACGCTTTTCCCATGCATTTGATTCCAAACTTTTGCCTAATCCATGTGGGATCTGCATACAGATAAACAAGTAGGACCACACACGAATAAGCATGGACTTGGTTATGCGTGTCAAGAAACTACAAGTCAATTCAGGGAGACAAAAATTAATGTCCATCTTACAAAAAATCCGACTGTCACGTAGGCATTCCTTATATTAGGGAGATCTGTTGCCGTTTGTTATAATTATCTAGCAACTTTGGCTTTATGTAAGAAGAAGAAAATATGCATTGTTTTTCAAACATGCTGTTTTCTACGCCAAACAGTCGAAGATAAGGTGGGCCGGCCACGTAATGCGTATGAATGACAACCGATAGACAGGAGTCGTTAGTGACTGGATTCCTCGGGATGTCAAATGCACTGCAGGATGACCACCGACCCGATGGTCAAAGTTCTTCGCGAAAAGCCTAGAAGAAAGATATGATGCTCGACGAGTCCCTAGAGCGAGCAGAACCCGCCGAGCTACTCTTGCACGCGACAGGGAAAAATTGAAGATTTACTGGTGCCCGCTCGAGTCACTCGTCGATCAACGGGACTACAGGTGATACAGGTGACAGGTACAGGTGAGCACGAGCATAGCTGAGCAGGAAAATCAAACAGCCACGAATGAGACAGTGGAAATCGACATACAAACTACGGGAGTGTTTAACACCGAAGATTCCTGTTGCCAGGGAAAGTTTACGCTCCTTCAATTTAGCTCCTTTCCGTTCCCATTGGCAAAAGTCGTATCACTCTAAGATTTCTTTTACACTGAGCTTCTCATAAACCGAAGTTTTTCCTTTCAGACCGAAGGCCTTCAGCCGAATCTGAAAGCCATTTCATGCGCTGTACAGGTGAGCACGAGCATAACTGACCGAGAGAATCAGACAACCATGATCGAGACTGCAGAAGTTGACATGCAAACTATGGGAGTGTTCAACTTCAACACTGAAGATTCCTATTGCCAGGCAAGGTTTACGCCCTGCAATTTAGATCCTTTCCGTTTCCATTGGCAGAAGTGGTATCCCTCTAAGATTTCTTTTACACTGAGCTTCTCATAAGCGAAGTTTCTCCTTTCAGACTGAAGGTCTTCAGCCGATTCTGCAAACAATTTCCTCCGCTGTACAAGTGAGCACGGGCATAAATGACCAAGAAAATCAGACAACCACGACTGATACTGCGGAAACTGACGTACAAACTGTAGGAGTTCGAAGCTTAAAACAGTTCATGTCTCGATACAAAAACAATGCTCTCCAGTAATTTGTGTTTTGCGAAGCATTTTGAATGATTAATCTTCGCTTTTCCGATACGTGATTTTGGCCAATAATTTCACCAGTGATGTAGTTTTTCTAAAGCGGTGTTTAGGATCACAAAATTTAACATATTCACGATGAATTGATCTCAATGCATATGTGGGTGAGCATTTTCAACTATATGCGCAGGTGTTAGCACAATACTTCTACAGAAACTTACAAAGAGAATTATTAAACAAACCTTCCAACCACTCACCGGCTCTATAAACGGTTTACCATTGTAGACTATCTTCTAGAAAGTTAAATGGATGTCTGACGTTTTTCACTATGACTTGTAGTCATTCATACTACCTGACGTACATTATTTCCAGACACCCATTCGCAGTCAAGACGCTTCAACCCAGTGCGAGGTGCTGAAAATCGAGTGCGCCGCCGAAGTTCTTTCTTTTCTCTAAATTCATCTATGCATACTAGATTTCAAAACAATGAAAAACTATATTAGAACACTTTGCGAAACCAACTTTCTTCTTCAAGAAGCAATTCATGTTGAAAATTTATAATCGAGCACCGAATTGCTCGGAACATTAGTTGATTTTTTGTTTGAATCGGGAATCGATGCTTTTAGCACAACACTTTTGAGTGATTTAGAGACAAGAGAGCAAACTATTGCTCTTGGGAATTTCGGGCATTTTATTTCGCTAAAGTATCCTCACTTAAAGTTGTAAGCTAAAGTGTTAGGGATAGACAACAGTAATTGCTCAGTGCGAGTAGGTGTGATATTTGGATCAATTTGAAGTGAAGCCAGAAACAACGAAATAAGTTTCGCACTTTATAGTTTATATTTGCTCTCCTTTATCCCAACTTTCATTGCTGAAGATGGCTGTTTTTTCACTTACTAGGAATATGATGCATGATGTTTCAGAGTGCAGTCAAAAGCCGTTCAACCCGATGTCTCACTCGTACGTTTCATTGAGGATTCCGAAACAGACTTCCTTCACAGTAGCGCTTTTACAACAGGAATCGGTGATATCATCGTAGAAGATGTGGGAAAGGAAGCTGAATCAATAAGCAAGGCAGAACCCACACAACACGTCCGATTTATGAAAAGTACAGGTGAACAGGTGAGTTCCTCTTTCATATTACAGGATTAAGCACAATTTGTTTTGAGTTCTTTATTGCACTCGTCCTCGTTCAAAAACGTATCATATACTTGTTTATTCTACCATGTTTTTTGTTTATTCCGTTTTTCATTTAGCCAGGTCAAACTGAAGAGTTGAAAAGGATTGCTACGTCTGAGGTGAGTCGTTTTGCCGTGAAACTCGAAGGTTGTTCTGATCCAAGAGCTTTCAGTTGTTGATTGATACACGTCATTTGCATTGTTTACTTGCTCATCACTATTAAACCCTTAAAAACTTTTTCTTCGGTAAAGGCAATGCCTAATCTGGTTTAATAAATAAAGAAATAAATATCTTCGAACAGGAATACTTAGGCAGCGACACAAGCGGATGCTGTGACAACACGAAAGCGGCAGAGTCAAACAAGGCTTTCGTGGTAAATCGTTCGATTATATCATATTTCCAAATGATTTGATGTCGAATGTATGTGGAGAAACTTTTCAGTGCTGACATTCGAGAACTCACTGCCATGAAAGAAATGAAGCAGAAGTCCAGATCCGTGGCTTTGTCCAACCAGCTGCATTCTGTCCACTCATCCGTTCAATCAACTACCTCTGACGGTGGCACTTTCCTTCCTACCCCTTAATGTTTGGCGTTATTAACTGTTCCGTCTGGTATCTACAGATATGAAGTAAATGACGCCGTCACATTTCAAAATACGTCGAATTTTTCCCCCTAAGGAAGAAAATTTTGCAGAAGTTTTTCGAATACTGTAAGTTTAGGTCTCACATCGTCTTTAAAAAAGACGTCTCAAACATTTTTCTGTGAAGGATTTCCGTTTCTTTAAGTCTTCCATTCGCTAATCTCTAAGATGAGACCCGACCATTATTTACTGCTGTCTCTAGAGGTCATAAACCTTTCATCTAAATGATTTAAATTTTCTGATTTTTTAGGTGGTCCCCAGGCTCTGACGCAGCGTGTGACGATGCCCAACGCTGAAGCCGACATTGTAGACGAACCAGAACGCATTTCAGAGGTTATCCATATATATTATGCACATGCAGATACATCAATATAATTGAGTAGTTCCAAATTTCTGAAGAGTAAACAGGAACCAAAGGCCGGAAAAATACAAAAATTGGTGGAAATCCTTGTACGGAATTTGTAACCTATGCAAGACATCAGACTATTAAGGTTAACGTCACTTTGACATTCGTAAAAAAGCCCGTGGACGAGCATGGAGTAGTCATCAACGATTTGGACGAACAGAGTCAAGAAAAGTTGGAAGAAGATGATGTGTTTCTAAATGACAGTGACCTAGATGATATAGAAGAATTCCTCGTGGAAGAAAGCACACAAACTTTTTCACACGGAGAGAACAGCGAGTTTGAAGTCAGAAAATTTTCGTTTTGTTTTTCTTCCTTTTTCCTTTTTTTTTGAGACATTTCAGCACCTAAGCTCATATTGCTCTTTTCGTATATTGCCCTCAGTCGTGAAATACTCACCAATAAGCTTACCCTCTTCAAGTTGTCCAAAATGATTTCTTCATCGATAAAGCACTATAGCTTACAACACTGCTTCACTGTTATTCAAACTGTAGCCAGACCTCTGCTTACTGCTTCTGCGAATTTGCAAGAGGGAAAATAAGATGATGGTATCCATCAATACCTCGTAATAACCCAGAAAACCATAATTTGTCAGGTGATGATAATCATTGGTTAATATTCCTAGTTATAGTTTGTTATCCGTTTATTATCATGTTGCCTCGGCCAAGAACAACACCCTTTATACTTGCCAGAGTAATGACTGCGTCTTCCCAGACCTCAACGACATCTATAAACGGTACTATAAATAATAACTTCCAGGGGCAAAATGAGGACCAGTGGCCTACAGTGAAAGTAAGAGCACTTACAATCAGTTCAGAAACCCAAACAACAGATATTTACCTGTATAGCCTGGTGAGGAGTTACATCTTAATGTTCTATCTCACATATACTTCGTATGGAAACTACTACACCAATGGTATCTACACAAGGATATAAACACTAATTTCATTAAGGAATCTTTGGTCGAATTGGACAGAGTCGAGGAAAGCATTTATGGGAAAAATCATCGAGAGTTTGCATACGCTGAAATTTTGCGTGAGACCGGAACCCAGACTGGCGAACTGTTAATGTTCACTAAGGATGTTCAGGCATATTATTTCTAAATTTTTTTAGTAAAACTCGTTCCCATCTAATTCATCCGGGTTATAAAACTTACGGATTGTAACATCTCTAGCACAATATGTTAGCCTAACTATTAGAGACAGCGTTGTTACTCATTCATTACTACTTCTCTACCACAATGTTTCTTCGGTACTTCCTCTTGAAAGCGTTCTAACGATGACGATTTTAGACAGTCACTCACCTTATGATGGTAGAAAGTATTGAGACGCAAACGGATCATTTGGTAAGCTCTTATTATTCATATTTTAGTGGTACAACCTTGAACTTGCTTCTCTTCGCGGCTGGCGTTTTTCTGTAATCTAATTCTTTCATGAAATCCCATTCAGTCATTCCTTAAGGTAATCCAAATTACAGGTACTCCATTTCCATTCAAAAATTCTGCTGATGTTATCATCGATTTTTATGGATTGGTTGAAATCATGCTTTCACCTTCTTAATTATATTTTCTTTAATTAGCACGCTAACATAAAGTTAGTAAAAAAAATATTTATTCGGATGTCCCACGTCTTCATCTTCTTCAGAACAGGGTTCACTCGAGTCCGCAAGTGATCGTCTTAAGCACGTGTGTGTTCGTTATGACACCGAGTCGAATCCAACAGAGTGGAGCACCGACCGAAAGAAACGGCCTCCCAATCGGCAGCGCCTTTTTATGCAGAACGGTTGTCCAATATAATCTGCTGATCTGCTTTTCTAGTGGGAATGTATTTTGAGACTTTTAAAGAATATTACAGAATTTCTCTTCGAAATACCGGCTAACCCACCCAATGGTTTACCACCTCATTGTGGCGGAAAGGTGTTCCTGGGTGTCGGGCTGCGATGTACAGCAGGAGATTCATCCCTCCTAATAGGGTCTCCCAAGCTGGAAAGGAGTTCGACGTTTTTATCAGGAAGGCTAAGAGTAAAACAGTACAAGGATCCACCACCACCGTACTGGTATCAAAGTCGCATGGTGGCAAATCTACCTCTGATCCACAAGGGCTGCGACTGCATGTGATGGTGAAGACCTGGAACTGGCCAGGCTGGCCTCAGGATTCCAAAGAACCACAATGGCTGAGCCAGCAAATCTCCGAAAAGTGGAGATTGTGCTGTGGTCCGCACAACCATTGACGACGGGCCATTCAATTAGGTATCAAGTAAGTAATATCGGCTAACAACAAACATATGCCACGGATTGGCAGAACTGAAAAAATCTCCACACTTTTGTCGCTCGCAGACTTCGTCGGAGCCAATTGGCACGGCTACTACAGTGATCCATTAAAACTTTATCCAACAATTGATCTCCCGCTATAGTCTATATTGCGCTGTGCCTGCAGGATCTTCGTGTCAAGAGACTAACCATGTACAAAACAGCAAACTCAGTTGAACATCTCTAGGAACCTTGAATCAGCGACGTCAGGCTTATCGGATGCCGTGTTCGCAAGTTTTCTATGATTGTAGAGTGTGGCTGATCAATATGTTTATGATAACTATGAGGAATACAGTTATTTGTTGTGAAAGATATTGAATTTAATCGAAATGTCAGTAACTGAGATAAGAAGAACACTCTGATCGGATGAAATCCCGTTTCTTTTAAAGACTGTCACGTTGAAAATGTATGCATGGAAAGGTTGAAAGGGATAAAACTCTCGGTGTTGATCAATCCCTGACGATTAGTCCATGCATTCGACTTCGTTAAGCATCGTTAGCGGTGAATGAATGCTTACCTCGCCTACATCATGACTCCAGGTGGCTTGCTTATGTATTGAGTTCGTGCTGCTATCCTCCCAGACAACTATGGTAGCAATCTGTTAACTCCAGAGGGATGGAAGGCTTGGTGAACCCGGAGCACAGGATTAAGCCCATGTTTATTACAAGGTGGCTCTAACCACTGCACTACACACACACTTATGCATGGAAACACGTGAAGAAATAAAATACGGAGTAATTAAGAAACAAAGAAAAATATAATAATATGGGTACAAGTCGCTAGTGGAGACTAACTACACTTGTATTATTTACCTTCTTATCAAGGGCGCGTGTGGCGCAGTGATTGGAGGCGCCACTGCGACAGACACGTGGAATCGATCCCAGCGCAAATGGCCCACCAAGCCCCCTATCTCTCCGGAGTCGGCAAATTGGTACCAGACTTATCTGGGAGGATAGCAGAACTGGCTCGATACATCGATAGGCCATCGTGAGTCATTGTAAAGGCCAGATATGCATTCAATCACCTCCAGCGATACTTAATGATGTCGAATGCATGGCGCATCACTCAGGGATTGATAAACGCCGAGAGCTTTATCCTTTATCTTTTTACGTTTTTTTCAAGGATTGCGGCTCGTTTTCCAAAAAAATGGAAGCCTTATGTATTTTCCTATCAGTGTACAACTTGACGAGTAAACCTTAACGAATGAATTGAAAAAAATTAAGTGCAAACTAATACCATTTTTCAATCGGACTGCTCACATCTATACTGAAAGTGGTGGTAACCCGGCGTCAAAGTGTGGATGAAATCATTCATGAACCCTTCAGAAATATAGGTGGTAGGTTGTGATCATTATTTTTTAGCCTTCTTGTACATCAAAACCAGCAATCAGAACGAATTCAGTCCAGTCTGATGTAAGCATGTTTTCTGTGAGACAAGAGGTATGACTCAGACTCGTCATTGACATGAATTCTTACAACTTGAGCAAGTAATAACACTACAAATGCCAGAGGCGGGTCCTCATTTTTTATTTTTGTAGAATATTTGGCAGAAAAGCAGGCCACCAATCAAAAAAGGTTCTAAGAGTTTAAGAAGTTTTGGCATTTCTGTTAATGTTCACTTTTGGAGTCAAGTAAAGTGAAAGAGTTCAGAAGTTGGGAGCTGGTAGCAGCGGTGTTCACGTAGTTGGAACTATGCGAATCAACATTATTTAACTAAATGACTGAAAATATAACAAATAAAGACACTTGTTTTAAAGTTCGACTCTATTTATTATTCGTATGAAATGCTGAGATATTTGCAAAACTCCGGACCGCAGGTGTATGCAGTGGGGAACGAACACGCTCTGTTGTCCTTACCAGGGAGCAGCGCACTTCACCACCACACCATCCGGGTCCTTCGTCTTGCCTGTCTCTCAGTTAGTTCTATCGATCTTTTTGCCATCAGCAATCACCCGTCAACGGGATTGATCTGGTGAGCCCAAATCGGCATTGAACCCAGTTAAGCTCTATTTATTATGTTTTTGCCCAGTAACTAATTTATGGGTAATTGATGAAACTAAGTGATCAATGACTTTTTAAAATAGTTAGCAGCCTGGAATACAACTTGTTGCCAATTTTGGCCGAGGACTTATTGAATCAAAGCACTATTGATATCAACGACATAATCTATGTTACATCGACGTCAAGAACACCATGTTGTTAGGTAGAATACTGACTTTTCCTTCTGAAAGGCAACAGTTGGGACTTAAATTAGTTGACAGAACAATTTTTGAGGTTATTCTACTTGTCCAACTTCTTGTCATGCTAGTAAGGGGGAGGGGGTAGGGCCTAAGTAGGACGTTAGTGTTCTAGAATGAGATCGGCACATCTGCTTGTAACGCATGATTGTTTGACTTTATCGATAACCTATTTTTATTTGATTCTTCATTCGTGTCCACACCCTTTGGAAGTTTCATAGAATGTTCCAGAGCACACTCAAACATGACATATTTCAAGAAAGAAGTTACGCACAATACGAACGTTTATCTTAATAAAAATGGTATGGGCTTATGTTACAAGCTAGCAAAACAGAGAACTTGAAGGAAATAATGAAATGGAAGTCGTGTATAACTCCACATAATAATCGCGTTGTTCGTTTAAACACTATTTCTGAAAGACAAATTACACCTATATTTTCAGGACTTATCAGAGCTGGAACTTCAGCATAACGTCCGATTTAACGTCGACAACGAAACATCGATGGAGAAGAAGTGCTACAAAACTTTTGCTACGCAGGTACTGGACGTCCCATTTCACCAGTTCTATACAGGAATTTAAGAACGACGATCCTGAAACCAAATCGATTCAAATTCAGTGTTCACAAGCAGTCAGGGATTCTCAGACGCAATATGTCGCCATCTGGACGACCGATGAATCGGCACAGACTGAAACCTGCATGAAGGACAGCAAAAATCAGGTAGAGAACCAAGTATTCGTCCGAGAAGTTCGCATTATTTTTTAACGTTCTTTGAAAAAATAAACAAACATTTCTGACATCAATTATCCCAATACTTCGTTCTTATCGCTTGAACCTCATTTTAAACAAAGTCTAAAAATGCTGCACGGAGCTAGCTTGTGGAAGCTCCTACATGTCACCCTCCAATTTTCTTTAATCACGTACTTTTCTAGTGTAAGGTATCCAGTGGGGCCGCCATATTCGTGATTATTATTCGTCACATTGAGAGTCATATATAAGTCATATACAAAATTGGTTGATTGAAAAATAAACCAGTAAATTTTTCGCAATTCTTTCGGTAAGAGACGAGTTTTATACCGTTGAACTAATCTGTGAGCACATCGTTGCTTTACACATCGCAGCAGTTTCTGCTTTATGCCTTTAAATAGGAGAGGGTGTCTGGCGAAGTGATTGGAGGCGCCACTGTGACACACACGTGGAATCGATCCCCGCGCCCATGGTCAACCAAGCCCTCCATACCTCCGGGGTCGGCAAATTGGTACCAGACTAGTCTGGGAGGATAGCAGCACTGACTCGATTCATCGGTAGGCCACTGCGAGTCATTGTAAAGGCCAGATATGCATTGAATCACCTCCAAAGATACTTAATGAAGTCGAATGCATGGCGCATCCCTCAGGGATTGATCAACGCCGAAAGCTTTATCCTTTTTTAAGCCTTTAAATTATTAGGGCAAATGGTCAGAATTTTACAAAAAGTCATTCCAAAATAGCAATTGAATAGCTTCAATTGACAAATATCTCCCTCATTTTTGTCAAATTCTATATCAATTGTTTAGTAGTA